ACTAGGTCATTCTTCAGAGCCACATATTTATCAGACATCAACTTAATTTCAATCTCACTTTCATCTCGTTCCTGTAATAAGGCCTTATTTAATTCATTGGATTTTTTTAACTCTAAGAGTGTCACCTTGAGCTTAGCATCAAGATCACATGCTCTGCGGGACATCATTTTTAATTATTATGTTAAATATCTACGAAACAAGACAACAATGAATATTATTCAATAGAAGAAATACAGTGTTGAAAGTGCGCTATTTCCCTTCAATAAAATAATACAATAAATAATTTAATAATAAATAACTAAATAAATATTGTTAGTAAAAACTTTAAATACCAATACTGTTACAAAAAAAAAAAATAATTAATCTTATATATTACCACTACAGTAAATATGTCTTAATTTGTCATATGATATCTAGCAATGGCTATGGATTACTAATATTGTATTGTTATTTAATAAAATACATAAGTTTAGTTTCGTACAGCTATTTGGAATATATTATCAATATGATAATAAATAAATTTACTTTTTTTAAGGCAAACAAGCTGACAGCCCACCTGATAAAAAGTGGTAACTGTCACCTATAGATATAATAACAATAGTATACATAACAAAGTATACCGGGAGTCACCAATTATACTCTTCACGTGTTGCCATTCCTGAGGGATATAGTGTTTTTTTTTTATGTGTGAAAATGGAATGGTAACCCCCGCTTGCGCTAGCGGGATACGCTGGCGGGGCACCAGTGAAGGGTGATCGATGAGAATGAAAACAAGCCAGTTGCGCTGGTGGGGCACCAGTGAGGGATGATAGGTTACGACGAAAGCAGGATAACGATGGGTTAATCGTGACGAATTCTACTAGAATTAACCAAGATGGTTTCCATGGGCAACCGCGTGGAGGTCGACCTGATAAGATGTATTGGTAGTAAAGGGTCGGTTAGACCTCATTACTCACCAACAAGTATTAGTCAAATCAACGTTCAAAAAACTTCGACACTGTGACGTATTAGTTAAAGTACGTCGACACATGTCACTTTCGTCAAAAATCTTGATAGTAAAATGTTATTGTGTACACATAGACTTACTATAATGTACTCACATTATGTATGTGTACATACTATCATGTTAAAATTTCCTTGTCTTTGTTTTTTTTTTTTTTTCAATATATGTCTTGTTATTCAGTATATATGTTTGTTATGTTTTGAGTATTTTTTTTTATGTTAATTAGAATGGACAGCAAGCAGACAACCCAACTGAAGGAAAGGACATTAGAGAATAGACTGCAAGGTACATCTCATGCGTTATCGTTCCAAATGATAAAAGCCTTAGTAGCCTGTAATTTAAATTATATACGCTATAGGTATATGCTAACGGGGTACCAGAGAGAGATAACAGACGAGGATGAAATCAGAGGTGTTTTTGTTCGTACCAAAATCGACCCTATAAATGGAGCTTAAGATTTCATTTGTCATAAATCCTACCATAAAAGTCCAAAGGAACGATACTTTAGCATTTTTAATATTTTTAAACGGTACGTATCATGTAATTTTAACATCAAATTTGTGTTTCGTTCGGATCCGAAATTTTGGAAAACATTTCATGGTTGGCCCTCTGGTCAGTTAGCCCACCGTAACGAATTCAACAAGAATTAACCACGGTGGTTTCTAGGGGACCACGTGGAGCTCGACCTGATACAGTATACAGCTCGCAATGAAGTTTTTAGACTCCTATACTAAAGGCAAAAGGTTGACTGGAAAATAATGCTATATAGAATTAAGTGCGCCTTTTGTACCGCACATAAAAATTATACAAAAATATTTATATTTATTTGTCAATGAAAATTTGGATTATGATGGCAAAAATATATTTGAAATATTTCGATGTAAAATATGAAGAAGGTGTGATTCTTGTAGGAGAAGAATTATGTATAAAGTCTATAATTACAATTTTAGATTGCTTTTTAAATAATCAATTGGAAACATTGAAAATTGTTCATTTGTTTATGAAAATTAACAGACAGCAACTATGCTACATTTCTGTAAGCAAAAGTTATGACCGCTCTTAATGTTAGCAATCAATAGCAATCAATTTTATTTAAAAAAAAAACAAATAGTAAATTGAATATTTTGAACTGTTAGTTTCTTTCGTCCGTCGTATGTAGAGGGAGACTTTGTACAAAAGTCGATTGCTTGGGTACCTCTGTCCCATTCGTGTTTCTACCGTGAAGCAGTTGTGTTTGCATGGCTGTGTTTCGGTTTGAAGAGTGGGACATGGCGTGAATTTACAGGGTACAGAGGAATAACATCTGAGTCCTCAGGAATGGTAACGCATGGGGTGTATCATGGGCGAAACAGTATACTCTGTTATGTCCATGGTACTGCTCATGTCTATAGACAGCGGTTACCACTTTCCATCGGGTGGGCCGTCAGCTTGTTTACCATTCTAAGTTGTATAAAAAAAAATACCTTGCTACACTACATTTTTTCTTTCTTTTACAATATTCCCCCATCAAACAATTAACATGGAAATTTTTTATAAAAAAAAAATAACCTGTAAACTTATGCAAATTTTATTGAAAATAACTCATTGTCATAGATATTTATAGTTATGATCTAAGTTTATAATTTACTAGCGACCCACCCCGGCTTCGCACGGATAGGTGAGCATATATACTAACATTTTTTTCATTAGCTTGTTGCGTCGAGTATGAATTAAACGGCTATAGTAAAATCCTTAAAAGATAGATATATGCTACTGCGGACTTTTATATTTTTTTTTATACAACTTAGAATGACAAACAAGCTGACGGCCCACCTAATGGATAACCATCGCCTATAGACACAAGCAGTGTCATGGACATAACAGAGTATACTGTTTCGCCCATGATACCCCCCATGCGTTGCCATTCCTGAGGACTCAGATGTTATTCCTCTGTACCCTGTAACTTCACATCATATCCCACCCTTCAAACCGAAATACAAACACACAACAATACAAGAGAAACAATTCTACCATACATTCTTTTGTTATCTTCTCAAAAGAATTAGTCAGCGGTTTCGATGAAAGGTCTAGTTGACTTGATTCTGACAATAATTTGAACAATTATCATTATATTTCAACAGATTTACAAATAAACAATATTATCTAGGTGTACGTATAAACTTTATTCTTAAATTGTTCTATCTATTGATGGAAACCGTGTTAAAATCCGTCGCGTCGTTTAAAAAAATCTAAGTATACAGACAGCAAGAAACAACTTTGTTTTATACTGTGTAGAGAAGATCATTATAAATCTATTGTTGTTTTTTTAGACATAGAATTTTCTAAATCTTTCTTTGTCGTATCAGTGACATGTTTGTAAATAGAAAAAGTATTTTTTTTTTATATTGTTATACTTTTGCGTTTCCAACAAACATGCAAATTATTATTATACACTTGAAACTGTTCAAAGGTCGTGTGCATGGGTACCTCTGTCCCATTCGTGTTTCAACAAATTTGTGTTTTACCAGAGGGAGACTTTGTACAAAAGTCGATTGCTTGGGAACCTCTGTCCCATTCGTGTTTCAACCGTAAAGCAGTTGTGTTTGCATGGCTGTGTTTTGGTTTGAATGGTGGGCGTGAATTTACTGGGTACGTAGGAATAACACCTGAGTCCTCAGGAATGGCAACGCATGGGGGGTATCATGGGTGAAACAGTATATTCTGTTATGTCCATGGTACTGGTCATGTCTATAGGCGACGGTTACCACTTTCCATCGGGTGGGCCGTCAGCTTGTTTGCCATTCTCAGTTGTATAAAAAAAAACCTCTGTCCTACTCGTAGTTCTGCCGTGAAGCAGTTCAACTTTGCAAGCTCGCGGGAAAAATGTCATTACCCATTTTGATTATGTTAAAAGTCTGTTATCCAATATTATTTTTTTGGATAATAATCTTTTAATATATTCGTTATTGAACCAATATATACATATTGTAAATAAAATATATAGATATTGCGATATATTTCCCACCCCTATGTGGTGTGCCATGGTTAAGACAGTGTATTCTGTGACATGCATGGCGTTGTTCATGTTTATAGGCTATGGTTACCACTTTCTATCAAGTGGGTACCAATATTCATCGATAACTGATGGGCAAGAAAGGCTTTTAGGTGGCGACTTTGTGTAGGCAAGTGAAATGTTGGGCGACTCTCCGCGCGATGGAGTCACGATCTTAAATTTGTTGCTGGAATAAATGCAGAATAAGATGCAGGAGATGCAGTATCGGAAAATTATTTTTGTAGTTTTTGCGTGCAGGTTAAATGATAGAATAATTTAAGAATTATTTTTATTTAAAAACTAAACTACGGAATTGATTTTGAAAGACCGAAAATCTATGGGACTAATCTGTAAAAACATACTAGTTCAGATGAAAAAGGATTTTTTCAAATCCATTTACAACTGACAGAGTTACGGGGTAACAAACATAAAAAATACAACCTTATCTAATCTCTTTCTTTTTGCAGTTATTTGAAAAGTTGAATTGCACTACTACTGCTCACTGGGGGGAAAGGGATTGTTAATAGGGTTTAATAGCCTCATTATTGGCAATATACCCTCTCAGGTTGACCTCCACGCGGTTCCCCCTGGAAACCATCATGTTTAATTCTTGTCGAATCCATCATGGTGGGCCAACTAACCTGCATTCATTCTCATCTATCATCTTCCACTGGTGCCTCGTCGGTGTATACCAATAGCGCGGGCAGTGTTACCATTCCATTTACACCCATTAAATAAAAACTACTGGCCACTCACTACTTCCTATGCCACTGTGTTAGGTTGACTGGAAGAAATCTCTTTTAGAGATAAGTTCGCTTTTGCTAACATTGTTATTAACTTATTGTTGTTACTGTATGTTTTATTGCAATAAAGAATATATAATAGTATACTATTGAAATCGTCATAAAACATCACATGTTTTTTTTCTGTGAAAAAAAAATATAAAAATATAAAAAAATAAAAATGTATGACACTGAAATATTTATTTATTAAGCAAAAGGTATTTACAACATGTTTAATATAACGACATAATACAAGAGTGTATTGTATTTTATATATACAAACAAATAGGTATAATAAACTCTTTGACTCTTTGCAAAAGAAAAAAGGCCGGCAGCACACCTGCAATGCCGCTGGTGTTGTGGGTGATCATGGGCGGCGGTAGTCACTTACCATCAGGTGAGCCGCATGCTCGTTTGCCCCCTGTGTTGTAAAAAAAAAAAAAAAAAAAAACATTATTTACTCTTAGTATATTACATCTAATATATAAGCAACTATAACTTTATGTAAATTAAGAATAATATTTAATAGTTAATTTTAATGTTTATAAGTATTTTTTTTTATACCACTGAGGTGGCAAACAAGCATACGGCCCACCTGATGGTAAGCGGTTACCGTAGCCTATGAACGCCTGCAATACCAGAGGTATTACGCGCGCGTTGCCGACTCTGAAGAAACCTCTTTACCCCCCTTTTGAAGAACCCCATGCTGTAGTCTTTCGGGAAAACCTCGGCAGGGAGCTCATTAAGGAGTAATGAATGATTGTAACACATAATAATATTATATATTATACTGTACTATATAAATCATAATAATATACTATAAAATTCATGCAAATTTCATCTTCGACAGTCAAATTTGACTACATGCAGTCGTATTATTGTAATACTGTAAAACTGTAAATGCATGCACTGTCATAGCTGCGCGTATATTCCACGTGGTTCCCCCTGGAAACTATCGTGAACAATTCTTGTTGAATTCGTCACGATTGGCTAACTGACTCGCTTCATCCTCACCTATCATCCTTCACTGGTGCCCCGCCGGTGTATGCCGTTAGCGCAGGCGGAGTTACCATTCCATCATCACCCATTGAAAAAAAATACTGCGTGTATATTACCAAAATTCGATGCAGACTAGCTATGGTCGAGACATCGTTTACGTATAATAATATTTTTATAAAAATTTTATGACATTATTTTATCAATGGAACGTAATTAACAGCAGTTACATCTGACTACAGGTAGTTACACTATTACAATAATGTAAAGCTATTATACAATCTTGAACTTAGCGTAGACCAGTTACGGTCACAAATGCGATTACATATTTGAATTACAAATATACTCGAAAATGTACTCGAACTTGCACCTTTGTGTTTGTAGTCAGTTATTATATGTAGTTATACTACTACTTATTACTATTATACAACTGATATTAAGTTAGAATTAAAAAAATAAAAATATAGTAATTAATAAAAGTTGTAACACAACAAAATTAAACATTAAAAGTCTTTTAATAAAGAATTAAACTATCTAAAATAAGAAACTGTAAAGCGAAAAAGAGAATAAACATTTTTATCAGTTTTATTTAAAATATAATCTTAATAATTAAACTCCTAAGTAAATTTACTAACGACTTTTCAGACAAAGTCAAATAAACATTCATAAATTGTACCTATTTTACAATAACCAATTCATAATTTAATAATAAGCATTTAAATTATAAAATTAAGCATTTGAATTATAAAATTAAGCATTTGAATTATAAAATTAAGCATTGGAATTATAAAATTAAGCATTTGAATTATTCATTTACAATAAACAATTCAAATGCTTAATTTTATAAAATCAACACATCGTCCAAATTCATATTTCTTGCGGCACTTCTATTAGGATCATATTTTCTTTTCAATCCCTTCTTACCCATATGGTAAGGATAATAATATGTCGTCGCTAAAAAGAAAATGCCCTGTTTCGTTTTATTAACTTTGAGACCGAGTACATTCGTCACAAGCGGTTGACGTTCGTAACAATTTATCTCCCTGGCTTGTTGTACCGAGTCGCATTGCATCGCTATAAACGAATGCGGATTATTCACAGCGGAATACCATATCTGAAGTACTTTCAGATGACTACAAAGCAAATCGCAGTATGCCCAAGCCATATCATTGAGCTGATGTTCTCCACCGTTCACGTAGAAATTAACATGGCCAATGGGACCGGGCATTCCGAGGCCATCGATATTTGTCGAAACCACATCAACGAAATCGGCGTCACTTTTGTCCAGTCGTTGTTCGGGGCCTAAGTTCCTAAAACAGGGGCCGGCTGGGTCTAAACCGGTCAGTCTACCTATTTTCGTACCGGACAGTGCTTTGTAGGTTTTGGCTATGTAGCTCATTGTTTGCGCGCCAAGACTTATGCCCAACATCTCGATTTTCTTCGGATTGAAGCCAACGTTATGTTGGGTTAAGTTGTATAACATTTCGCCGACGTGCTTACCCACAGTACGTATTAGTCGGGCCGCCCTGAAACGATGCATATCAATTTACAAAAATTTCGTTATTTATTATGCACTATCTGTTTTCCGTGGCTTTGTCCGCGTCAGTACATAAAGTATGTACATAATGTTTTAGGTTAGGATATAAGCTATTCATGTACCAAATTTTAATCAAACTCAGTCAACCGTTTAAATATGATTGAATGATATTCTTTACAAAGTTTTACATTCACAATATTAGTAAGATAATGTAAAGTACTAGAAAAAATTAATATTTTATTTATTTATAAATTAATTTTTTTTCATTATATAATATAGTACAAACAGTTATTTTATTTAAAAACAAAATTACTGAATCGATTTTGATAAAATTTTAAAGGAACAATTTAAAAATATATTCCTTCAGATAGAAAAGAATTTTTCAAATCGGTTTATAAATAACGCAGTTCTAAGGTAACATACATAAAAAATACAATTAAATTGAGAACCTCCTGATTTTTTAAATCGGTTAAAAAAGTAAAAATAATATATTTACGGCTATAAAATCATTTTGGATATTGCTTAAAAATATTTATATGACGTTTTTACTCACCGTGGATACACCATAATTGTAAATCTACTAGTATCCACCAACCAAATGTTATATCCCAAATTTCTATAGACATTTTGAAATACCAAAGCAACAGGAGAAGCTGCACTGTCTATCCAACCACCAACATAAATCATGGTTTTCTTGGTATAATCCATGTTGGGATCTTTAGCAAATTGCTCCATTTGATAGTAGGAATACATCCTTTTTGTATTAGATTTAGCTCCTAAGACCGTGATACTCAGGTAATTTAAATTTTCCTTTGTAATTATGGAAGGCTTTTCTGAACCGGGACCTGGAAAATATCGGTTTGTTTAGTGAAAAAATACATAATTAAGTTAAATACAGATTGATTTGCTAGCAAGCCATTCGTCAGTTTACAATGTTTTCAATTCATATACAAAGTTATAATTTAGTGTAACTAACACCAAATTATTTATAATTACTCCTCTCCATTCAAAGGTTGCCTGGAAGAGATCGCTCTTAGCGATAAGGTCGCCCATTGTTTTCTCATTGTGATTATTTCTTGTAATTATTTATATTTATAATAAGTTTACTATTGTAATCTTTTGGAGGAAAAAAATAAAGAGTATCTATCGGTCTATCTATCTAATTTTGACAATACATTTGTGTTAATATTTTTAGAATGAAGAAATATTATGAATATAAAAAAAAAAAGCTATCCAAGCAATATAAGTATCAGATATTATTTAACATCCACAGTTGTAACAATTTTAATGATGTACAATAAAATAACTATGGGGGAAAGGGATTGTTAGTAATGGAGACTGATAATCCCATTGCTAGCAATATACCCAACCAGGTCGACCTTCTCGCGGTTCCCCCTGGAAACTATCATGGTTAATTCCTGAAGAATTCATCATGATGGGCTAACTGGTCTGTTTTCATTCTCATCTATTACCCTTCACTGGTGCTCCGCCAGCGTATCCCGTTAGCGCAGGCGGGGTTACCATACCATTTTCACTCATCAAAAAAAAAAAAAAAAAACTAAGTATGGATACATCTGTAACTGTTATCCACAACAGTTGTCAATTATTCGCCGCCTAATTACATTTTTGTTTTGTCAAAGGTTGATTAGAAGAGAATGCATAAAATCCGCACTTTTTTTTTGTAATCTTTAAAGAATAAATAACTAATTAAATAAAAAATAAATAGTATTTAAATTTTTACGTACTCATAGATATGACATAAAGCAATTACTCTATAATATTACTCGCAAGGAAATATGCCAATTTGAAATTTGGTCAGTTTTTCGCTGATGAACAAGGTAATTATCATATCATATCCATCATCTACTGTTGAACATAAGCTGTCCCCAAAAGTGGAGTAAGGTTTCAATTTACTTTACCACTTTCAATAAACAAGTATAAAATTTCTCGTGCATAAGTGGTATGAAGTACAGATGTCTGGATTTTTGATGCTACATGTAGCCTATTACCATTTTAGGCGTTAACTATCCGCAGCTAATTACAAGCCTTCCCCATAAGAGGAGGGTTTTTGCCACGCTTTGCAGGCGGTTTGGCACCCACAGAAAGGGTTTTCGTGATGTTTTAAGAGGGACGCTGCTGCCTATCCTTCGGTCGTTAATTCCCTTAGTATATATATATATATATATATATATATATATATATATATAGATAATATACATCTAAACTTTGGATTATAATTTAAATTAATATGTATTAATAAATAAAAAGGAAAAATTTGACTTAAAGTTTATAATAAATAAACTTAAAAAAAAAACATAAAGGATTTTAAAAATACCTTCACCTATACACCTTCTTCACCTTTGCCTATAAAAATACCTTCACCTAGCTACATTACGAGCGAGTAACATGGTCAATATTTAAAAAAAAATCATTCAATGCCGGTGCGGGTTGTAAAAAAAAATAACTAAAAAAATATAACGACTTGAAATGAAAATACAATGAAATCAAACTAAACGACTCACTAAAACGTGAAAAATAAACTGATTACCTATTAATTTAAATAAAATATTATTATATGTACTAGCTACGAATCTGTTTGAACTCGTTATCAAGCTCAAAGAGAACGATGGGAAAAGCAATGGGATTTCACCATCAGGTAATAGTTAAAATAGATTACAATAAATCGATATTGAAATTGAAACGTTTCGCACTCTCGACTTGCGACACTAACGACAATGGTTCCATAATGTTTTAATAGATGCATTTCAGTACAATTTGTAAATGCAAACTATTGTAAACCGATCCCAATTATAACCTAATTCCTAACTGTTGTTTCATGCAGTATAAAATTGTATCTGTTCTCCTTTAACCAAAGATTAGCTGTAAGAGATTGCCCTAGCGATAAGACCGCCTTTTGTACCTTTATGTGTATATTTCAATCTGTATTTATGTTACTGTATTTCACTTGAATTATTCACTTGTCATTGTATTTTTTTATGGTGCAATAAAGAGTTAAATAAATAAATAAATATATATAAAATTGTCATTGGCAATAGATTGAACTGATATTGATGTTAGATTCAAGAGTAGACCTGCAGACCCTGAATTGGTGACAATGAGACTATCTGAGGAATTAGGAGCATACTACTATCTTCATTTGGCGTGAATTTACTGGGTACAGAGGAATAACACCTAAATCCTCAGGAATGGCAACGCATGGGGGGTATCATGGGCGAAACAGTACACTCTGTTATGTCCATGGTACTGCTCATGTCTATAGGCAACGGTTACCACTTTCCATCAGATGAGCCGTCGCTTGTTTACCATTCTAAGTTGTATGAAAAAAAATTTCGTAGAGAGAATTTTTCAAATTTATTTACAATTGACGGAGAAATTGGTGAACATACATAAAAATATAAAATGGAACATACAACAGAACTTTCGTATTTGGAAGTCGTTTAAAAATTATTTAAAATCGCAAATAAAATAAAATTACTTGCTAAAATTCTGTAAAAACAATTTCATTTCAGCAACTGAACAGTCGGTTTTACACGTATGAAAAAAAAATGGAAAAAACAAGAAATTACAGGATATGGGAGCAGAATCATCCTCAGGATTTTTGATATATGAGGGCTACCATGGGAATCACAGTTCTTTCTGTGATGTTGTTCAAATGATGGTTTACGTCTATGGTTGTCAATTTTCATGAGGGCTGTCAGTTCGTTTCAAATTTTCAGTTGCATTATCATAGGCTTATTTAATCTGTACCTACCCTAGAATTGTCTAGTGCCCACTCTAAGACTAGAAGCAGAGTTTTCAGCTATAGGCAAAAACATGTGTAAGGCAAATATTCTTAAATATGCTAACAGTCATAGATTATATAGATAGAGTGTCTCCATAATAATGCTTCGAGAAAAACGAGTCAATTTTTTTATGAAATTTTGCGTGATAAATAGTTATGAGTGATTCCTTTATAACTTCTATATTTATTTTGTCTTATAAATTCTGCATCTTATTAATGTATAAACAGTTATTTTATTTATTAAATAATACGTCAAGATACATTTTATGAGTAAATATATAGAATTTTGATAAAAAAAAATAAGTCGACTAATTTGACAATTAGCTGACAAAAAGTTGACCCGTTTTTAAGGCTCGATGCTCTATCTATATAATCTATAATCTAAGCTAACAGCATAAAATAAGAGATATACTGTGAAAATAAATAAGAATTATATTAATGTACATATATAAAAAAAATATAAACACTTATTCTCACTTACAGTCGCTGATAAATCCAGTAACATCTGCATCGACTAACGGGGAACAAAGCAATGTCATAAGGTGACTAAATATAACAAATTCGGTGAACATATTTTTCGAAAATTATTTTATACAATGACCAACGTCTCTCACTAGCCAGAGTTTTTATGAATGTAAGCGTATTTATGAGTTTCCTTTAAATCTAGTAAATACTAAATAACTAAAGTTTTTTATGTCTTTTCAGGTCTTTATATTATTGTTAGTATTTTTTTTTTTGCGAATACTTGTCTTAGTCAATAGTGAGTGTGTACATGAACATTTACAATTACAAATATTTTATAATCCTTTCCGCGGCTACCTTATACTATACATGAAAATATATTTTTATGTACATTACTAAAAATAGAACACAAACGAGTCGACCTGACCTCTCTGACGCACTGTTTATAAGTAAAACCCATGTTTCGAATTGAAATCAAGTTTAGTTTTTCATATATTTTTAAAATTAGCTCCTTTTATTTACGACACAGTATAGTATAGGTCATTCATACCTAGTATATAACATATTGATGACGTATATGGATCGCTGGTTATTTGTTTAGAAGTATTTTGTTTCCGCTACCGTTAGTATGTGGCTGCCAATATATATGGATTGACTCCTACTAGGCTATTAATATACGTAAGGCACTAAATTATAATACTAAATTTGCATGCCTTTAGATAAGGCGAAATGTGTAGATCAATAATATTTAAGGCCATTATTATTACCACATTTCGAGAAAATAAATAAATAATTATTATTATTAAATAAATTATTATTGTTATTATGAGTGGGGACTATCAACAATCGAAGATTGACCACCACTATTACTATTAGAAGTTTTTTTTTAATAGATGATAATGGAACGGCAACCCCGCCTACACTATCGGCATACGCTGATGAGACACTAGTGAGGGATCATAGGTGAGAATGAAAAGGCAGGTCAATTAGTCCATCAACACCTGGAATGCAACATCAATCCACCTGGAATGCAACACGATGGTTTTTAGGACGGACACGTCGAGGTCGACCTGATAGCGCATACTGTTAGTCCGTATTACTTGCAATCTCTTTCCTTCCTTAATATTAGAAGTTCCACATTTTATCTTCCATATTAGCCATCAATCCCAACTGTCATTATTTATTCATCGTGCATAGCTTAATTATTTTTTTTACTGGGCGTAATTGAAACAGTGACCCCGACTACGCTATCGGTATACACCGACGGGGCACCAGTGAGAGATGATAGGTGAGGATAAGACAAGTCAGTTAGTCTATTGTGATAAATTTAACAATGGTGCAACGATGGTTTCCATGGAACGGCGTGGGGTTTAATCTGATGTTTTTTCTATGCACCTTATAATGGCAAACAAGCTGACGGCCTACCTGACGGAAAATGGTAACTGTCGCCTATAAACATGAGCAGTACCATGGACATAACAGAGTGTACTGTTTCAACCATGATACCCCCATGCGTTGCCGTTCCTGAGGACTCAGGTGTTATTCCTCTGTACTCTGTAAATTCACTGCCATATCCCAGCCTTCAAACCAAAACACAGCCATGAAAACACGACTGATTCACGGTAGAAACACGAATGGGATAGAGGTGACCAAGTAAACGACTTTTGTACAGTACATACATACATATACACACAGAAAATATATGTTTATTTATACTTTTAACTGGCTGTCAATTACTACGAACCTATTATTTTTTTTATAATGATTAATTATAATTATTTATACCTATCGTTCTTTTCAATTGTAAAGACATTTTATTTATTTTTAACTATAACATTTAAGTCGATTGGTACACATGTGTGACTGTAACTACTAATGAACTGTCAGTTTTCTCATATTGGGTTTGCTGGAAGAAATCTCTATTGGAGATAAGCTTTTCGCCTTTGTGCACTATTATGTTTGTTTTTACATTTCAATAACCTTTTGTGTACAATAAAGAATAAAGAAAGAAAGAACTATGAACTAGTAAGTAGATTGAAATTTGCAATACACGGCCGGCAGCACACCTGCAATGCCGCTGGTGTTGTGGGTGATCATAGGCGGCGGTAGTCACTTAACTTCAGGTGAGCCGCATGCTCGTTTGCCCCTTGTGTTGTAAAGAAAAAATTAATAACGAAAGGTTTTTTTTTTAATTTCAATTTATATGGCAAACAAGATAGTGCTATACGATACCTGTCAATTAGACCTGTATGTAGGTCCCGGCGTCGAATAGCCCACCCGTTCCTTTCCCATGAATGTCGTAAGAGGTGACTAAGAGAATTTATGGAATAGGGATGGGCATCAGCGTCCCTCTTAAAATATTACCAAAAGCTAAACTGCAGCTGTCAACCTGCCTGTCAAGCGTGGCAACTACTGGCAAAACCTCACTTATGGGAGAGGCTATGTTCAGCAGTGGACAGCTAACGGCTGACACAACGATCAATTAATCGGATTTTTGCGGTATGTATGTATAATGCCATTGTCATCTTGTCACTTATTCTATGCCCTTCTCCACCCCAAATGCTATATGATATATATATAGTTTTTTTTTTGATGGGTGAAAATGGTATGGTAGCCCCGCCTGCGCTAACGGGATACGCTGGCGGAGCACCAGTGAAGGGTGATAGATGAGAATGAAAACAGGCCAGTTAGCCCATCATGATGAATTCATCAGGAATTAACCATGATAGTTTCCAGGGGGAACCGCGAGGAAGTCGACCTGGTTGGGTATATTGCTAGCAATGGGATTCTCAGTCTCCATTACTAACAATCCCTTTCCCCCCTGCTATATGAATGTTAAATTTGTTAACGATTGGTCGAGTCGTTAAAATGCCAAGATGTAGACAAACAAACTAGGGATGGGTGATATATGTTGTAACAGACCGGTGTTGGAAAATGCCGAAAATAATGAACTCCGCTTGGTATTATGAAGTTTTATTGATTTCTTTAAAATTAGACACGGACACTGAGAAGACACTTTGTACAACTCACAAAAAAAAAACAGACTCGTGCACACACGTGTCACGTGGCCTGCACGCGGCGCATGCGCGCCGGCGTCCATTAAAGTACCAACAGATGGAGTTAGTGGTTACATTAAGAACAAATTACAAAGTTGAAATATTAAATAATTACGAGGTGCGCGGTGCGTCGCCTACATATGTATAGCATTATCTTTCTACCCATAACCCAATTATTATTTGGGGTCGACGTAATATGTTTTTATCCATATTATAAAAAGATTTGGCTTGGCTTTCAGTTTTACGACCGGTCGCCTGCCTGACGTCTAACCTCTTTGGGAATATATGTATATGTATAGCAATGTCTATATATTTTAATTTTTTTTTATATAACTTAAAAGCTGACGGCCCACCTGATGGAAAGTGGTAACCGTCGCCTATAGACATGAGCAGTACCATGGACATAACAGAGTATTCTGTTTCGCCCATGATACCCTCCATGCGTTGCCATTTCTGAGGACTCTGGTGTTATTCCTCTGTACCCTGTAAATTCACGTCATATACCACCCTTCAAACCGAAACACAACCATGCAAACACAACTGCTTCACGGTAGAAACACGAATGGGATAGAGGTACCCAAGCAATCGACTTTTGTACAAAGTCTCCTTCTGGTGAAGTTAGGTTAGGGCTAGGTTTAGTTATAATATCTATATACTGGTCCAATAACGAAAATGTTAGAAGTCTGTTATCCGAAAAATAATATTGAATACCAGACTTTTAACATATTCGAAAATAGATATCCGACCGATATGGGCGACATCGAAATAGGTGTCGACCTTTTTCCCGCCATCAATGTACAGAGGAATCTATTATACAGATATCGGATCAGAATCCATATTTCCCATGTCTAAAACAAACAAATTCACTTTATATTTATAATATTAGTAAATATTCTATCCAGTCTGAAAAATTATGCAAAAAAAATACGTTTAGACATAAAAAAAAATATTTTTATAGTATGATATTTGATTCATGTCTTGTTAATTATTTTTGTATGGGAACGTGAATCATGGGTTTTTATGTCAACATTGAGTAGGTACATGTAATACACGATAGACGGGTTATTCCTATATGTATAAAAATAATTAATTTTCAACCGACTTAAAAAAAGGAGGACGTTCGAAACTCGGTTGTATCCTTTTTAATGTTTGTTATGAGGTAACTTTATAACTCCGTTAGTTATAAACCGGTTGAGAGAATTCTTTTTTTATCTGAAATACTTAGATTATATAGATGGAGCATCGAGTCTAAAAAACGGGTCAACTTTTTGTCAGCTAATTGTTACATTGGCTGACTCTTTTTTTTTTTATTAATATTCTATATTAACTATATGTGTGTGTATACACACAATGTATCTTGATATATCTATATTTAATTATTTAATAAATAAAATGAGTCTTTACGCATTAAAAAGGCGCATAATTTGCAAGACAAAACAAATATAGAAGTTATATAGGAATCACTCATAACTATTTATCACGCAAAATTGTATGAAACAATTGACCCGCTTTTCGCAAAACATTTATATAGAGACATTCTATCTATATAATCTAAGCTGAGAGAATATACTTTCGGAAAATCGGTATCACCACAACTGAAGTCGATTTATTTTTTAGAACACAATTTTATAGTTGTAAAAATCTTATAAGTAATAAGATTGGTAACAACGGATAGATCGATGAATGTTTGTTACTCTTTCACGCAAAAACTACTGAAACTACTTGAATGAAGTTTTTTTTTGATCGGTGAAAATGGTATGGTAACGAAAACAGGCCAGTTAGCCCATCATGATGAATTCATCAGGAATTATCCATGATAGTTTCCAGGGGGAACCGCGAGGAGGTCGACCTGGTTGGGTATATTTCTAGCAATGGGTATCTCAGTCTCCATTACTACACAATCCCTTTCCCCCCATTTGAATGAAGTTAGGTTCATACAAACCTCGGCATTGTTTATATGAACTACACTAAAAAGTTACTATATAATACTAATGTAGGTTATGAACGACGATAAGAATTGGAATTATAGTTACTATTTTAAAGCGGGACGACACGCCTTGACGGGAAGCGCTGTATTCTCTCTGAAGTCTTCTTCAGGGGGATTACAGCGCTTCGTGTCAGTGTGTCGTCTCGCTGTAAATCAGCCGAACTGATTACTGTCGAGACGATTTCATCCGGTAGTCTTCTACCGGATGAAGTCGAATTGTCGGAAACGAGAAACTTAGTAAGTTTATAAAATTACGCTTAAACATATACACAGACATGATATTTATTATTAGTAAAACGTAGCATATAAAAAATAATAAAATTTACGCTAAATAATCCGCGGAATACACCTAGTATTACAACTACCTGCAATACCTCTGGTATTGCAGGTTCATACGCTACGGTAACTAGTAGAGCAGAGCACAAAGAGAGAAGCATCATACAATATAAAATAGTGCGAAAAGGAAATGGTATTGCAGGCGTTCATAGGCTACGGTAACCGCTTACCATCAGGTGGGCCGTATGCTCGTTGTACACCTCAGTGGTATAAAAAAAAACTACAATGTTTGTTGTTTGCATATTTGTCATTCAAACTTATTTAAATGGATTTGGATGAAATTCAAACAAAAATGAAACAGGCCGAAAAACTAGAATTCGCTTAATTATAATATTTTGTTTCCGGCTTCATTCAATATTGTAGTTACATGGGTAAAAATAAACGACTAACAAAAGAAATAAACAGATTAACTGAAATACTGGCATGCGCTCGACGTTTACTTGAAAAATAATATTTTGTTTTACAAAAAAAAAAAAAGAAACAATGTTGTCGGCGTTTTATATACTTTTCGCGCCAATTCTAATAAGCGGCGTGTCGACGGTTCAACGTTCACAAGTTGACGAAGGTTACTCTGCGGGTTTTTACTCTGACTGTAAGTTGAAAAGTTTTTTCTTTTTTATTTTTATATGTATTTAATAATATCTACTTCATCATTTTATAGAAATAACTAATAGGTTTTATATCCTAAATCCCTCACAGACATAGATGACATAAAAAAATATAAAACTAAACTGTATGAATACCTAGTAAACAGAACGTACTATTCAATTGAAGATTTCCTTGAAGATAAATGTAATAAATTTCCATTTATTACATTTATCTTTTATTTTTTTACTATAAATGTGACATTGACATTTTTCTTTTTATATAATTTTTTTCTTATATTATTGTAAAACTGTATACCTCGATAGATGGAGTTGATCATAGAGGAGTTATATTGTTTTACCATTCATTGTTACCTATGTATCACAAAATAAATAAATATATTTAGTAAATGTTTGATTATTTATTAGTTAGGATTCTGTTCCATAATGACAAATGAAGCCTCATGGTGCGACTTTGTCCGTCCATCCATCTGTCTATCACAGTGCTATAAATCTACTAATGTCATCGACTTGACATTCAGAATAGTTTTATATATAATTAGCTTACATATAAATAAAAAAATATTTTTTAAAAGTCCAAATATTGATATTTAACATTTCAAAATTGGCCTGCTAATCCAATATGATATTAAAGGAATCCATTTCTATATCCTGAAACAGATTTTTTTTTAAATTATTTATGTCGTTTAATTTATTTTTTATTTACATATATTTATTATATTTTGACTTATTGTCGAATAAACATATGTGAAAAAAGCAAATACCATCCACCTTCTTACCTCCGAAATTTGTGTATTGAAAAATCTTAAATATTTACATTTCAGTAAAGTATTTATCAATACTACAAAACAAATTTTTGAATAATTATCAATACAAATAAAAAAAAATAGTTTTTAATACTGTTATGGAAATTTTGAATTGTAATAATAATTATTCTTATGTGGATATTTCATATAAAAACACAGTAAACACATTCCTATATTTATTTTATATTATACTTACATATTGAAATGAGTTTTTATTTAACCACTTAAATATCTCGAATGAAACCCTCTTGCGCATCAAATGTGTTCCGATTCGCGCTATCCCGAGTACCTCTCGCCACTTATAAATATTATTATGTTTATATTTTTATCTGGAGTGATACCCTCTCGCCCGTTTGTATTTCATAGAGCTTAGTGTATATTTATTGTATGCTCGTTTAAATTTAGTGCGTACGCTAGTGCGCCAGTTGACCTCATTTCACAGAAAAACCCTCGCATTAAGTGGTTAAAGAGACTTATTCTTATTTTTTATAGTTGGATTAACAAGCAGAATGCAAAATCATTTACACTATCAAATATATAAATTTTGTATTTATTTCAAGTATTTTTGCAGGCCCCGGTTCAACTAAACCAGCAATAATTTCAAAGGGGAGTTTGAATCATCTTGGAATTAAGGTTATAGGAGCTAAGTCTACTCCAGTATCGCCCAGGAGGACATATTCCTACTACCATGTGAAGGACTTGGCTAAAGATCCCACAATGAACTATGGTCGAAAGACTATATTGTTCGTATCTGGATATTTGGACAATCCAAACTTTCCCTTCGCAAGGATTGTTGAGACCAGTTACAGAAATTTGGGTTACAATGTCTGGTTGCTGGATATGTATAAATTTGTTACCATGGAATACACAGTGTGAGTACTGACAAGTTATTATCATGATTTCAGTCATTTATTATTCCTTGTTGGACATTTAGTTCATCATTGACTACCACGATGGCTGGTTCTTACCTTCAGCAACGATATATATATATATATATATATATATATATATATATATATATATATATATATATATATATATATATATATATATATATATATATATATATATATATCATTTGAGTTGACATGCAATGTGTCATCACTCTTTCTCCTCTTGCAGTTGTTGTAAGAGGTGGCTAAGTGACTATAGTGCAATTAAAAAATGTAGGAGAAAGAAATTCTCAAGCAAAACCATTTGTTCAGCGTAGTAGTACTAAGCAAGTATTCTTCACTCATAAGAGAAAATCCAAAACCACTATGGGAGAATAATAGATAGATAGATAAATACTCTTTATTGTTTCCTCCAAAAGATTACAATAGTAAACTTATTATAAATACAAACAATTACAAGAAATAATCACAATGAAAAAACATTGTGCGACTTTATCGCTAAGAGCGATCTCTTCCAGGCAACCTTTGGATGGAGAGGAGTAATTATAAACAATTTGGTGGGAGGCACGATGAAAAATTTTGTTAGTTCTAAATAGGTTATTATAAATCAGTATTTACTTGCTGCGTGTTCCCGGAATATCTTAAGCCATCCCTTCTTTTCCTGTGGGTGTCGTAAGAGGCGTCTAAGAGAGAGCGAAGGATGGGCACTAGCGTCCCTTTTAAAACATCTCTAAAGCCTAACTGTGGTTGCCAATCTGCCTGCCAAAAGTGGCAACTGCTGGCAAAATCCCCGTAGTGGGAGGCCTATGTCAGCAGTAGACGGTTTTTTTTTATAATGGATGATAATGGAATTGTAACCCTGCCTGTGCTAACAGTATACACTGGCGGGGCACTAGTGAGAAATTATAGGTGAGGATGAAGTAGGTCAGTTAGCCCACTATGACGAATCTAACAATAAATCAATCACGATTGTTTCCAGGGGGAACCACGAAGAGGTAGATCTGATATAGTATATTGATAGCAATGAGGTTACTAAGCCCCATTACTAACAATTCCTTCTCACCCCAGCAGTGGACGGTTAGGGGCTGATATGATGATGGAGTATCAATAAATAACTATCAAATCAAGTGTTGATGATGTCTACTGATACTGCAGGGACGTACATCGCTAGGTGTAATTTAAAAAAAAAAATGTAAATTGCCCTGGTTATAGCCGTTGACAGGTGTATTGCATTTCCTGATATTCATTATGCTTTGAGAGGCTCGTTGTTTGGTTTTTACAACAATAAGTCAAATTCTCAAATATTTAAGAAACTGATTGTTATTAAATATAACATTTAATTTCAGGGTCGCTCGTGTAGCACCAGAAGTTGGAAAACATGTCGCGGAAATGTTGTACAACTTGACTCGTCAAGATGTTGGGTTCGACCCTAAGAAATTGGAGATACTGGGCTTGAGTCTTGGAGGGCAGACCATGAGTTTCATTGCCAAATCTTATTATGCATTGGCAGGCGTTAAAATCGGCAGACTCACCGCATTAGACCCAATGGGACCTTGCTTTAGGAATTTAGGCCCAGAAAACAGGTTGGACAAGAGTGATGCTGATTTTGTAGAATTGATAGGTACTAACATAGATGGATATGGGGTTGCAGAACCATTGGGTCATGTGAATTTCTACGTCAACGGCGGAGAGCACCAAGCTCATGACGTTTTCTTTGTGCCCTGTGAAATGATTTGTAGCCATTTAAGATCGTTCACTTTGTGGTATTCAGCGTTGCAGAATCCAAATTCTTTTATAGCTATGGAGTGTGAGTCAGTGCAGCAGGCCAGAGACAAGAACTGTTATGGCCGAAAACCGTTGGTTACAAATCTATTAGGACCCAACGTCAATAAGACGAGACATGGCATATTTTATCTAGCAACAAACCACGCTTATCCATACCATATGGGCGTGAAAGGATTGAAAAGGAAATATGAACCAATTTCCAACGACTTAAAAGAATTAAATCCAGATGGTTTAAAAATATTATAATTTACTTTCAAATTTATTTAATGGCCCATTTTGGGATTATCCAACATGGTTTTAGAAATATAAGACTTAACTTTGTCAAAGTTTAATTAAATAAAAGAGCTATAGGATTTTACCGTTACAGTTTGGCATAAAATAACTTAGTAAATATTGGATTTATAGATATAATAAATGTACCAAATGAAATACTTAACATTTTTATGTTTTCTTTCAGAATTATCTTCAAATAGTTAACATGACGAGGTTATCCAACGTTTAAAAATAAATTTACCCATTATCTTATTTTATCTTATTAATATAATAAAATTGTAAATAGATGATGTCTGTATAAAGGAGATATTTAGGGGAAATTAATATGAGAGATTTTAGTAAGATGATTAGATGCCATAGTAATTTTTAGAAATTTCATCTGTTTATTTGTTCGCCTGCATGTTTGTCGCTACAAAACTACTGTACCGAATTGGATGCAGTTTTCATACTTATATTCCTGAATATAGATATGAAATATAATATGCCATCTAAAAGTGGTTTATTTCAGTGGTTTTCCTAATTAATGGGGTTCTTCAGAAGGGGGGTGAAGAGGTTTTTAGGATCGGCAACACGCGCGTAATACCCCTGGTATTGCAGGCGTTCATAGACTACGGTAACCAATTATCATCAGGCGGACTTTTATAGGTGATAATGAAATAGTAACCCTATCCGCGCTATCGGTATACACCGGTGGGGCACCAGTGAAGGATGATAGATGAGGAAGAAACAGGTCAGTTAGCCCATCGTGACAAATTAAATTAAAATTGTTCACGATGGTTTCCAGGGGGAACCACGTGGAGGTTGACCTGGTAGGGCATATTGCTAGCAATGGGGCTGTCATACTCCATTGCTAACAATCCCTTCCCCCCTCATCAGGTGGGCTGTATGCTTGATTGCCACCTCAGTAGTATAAAAAAAATTCGAAACCCATGCGTACGAAGTAGCGGGGTAAAACTGATGAATAATAAAATACAATTTTGAAAAAAAAAAGAAAATTATTAAAAATATTCTCCATTCTGTATAATAAAATTGTTAATAGCTTTATAATTACAAGCATTAAATAAAAAAAAAATATGAGTCGTTTTTTATTACAACAAATAAGAACCATCCCGATAAAACCAATTTTCATATAAAAACCTTATTTATTTGAGAGCTTTGATGTCTCAAACAGATATAAAGAAATAATTAATATATAATAACTTTCTCATTTCTTACACCACTTTACAAGTCTGGTTTCATGTTAGACTCCAAACTATCACTATCCAAGTTTCACGACTCTGGAATGCACTGAAGGAATACGAGAGCTCCCAAATAAGTATATATTCAAGAAACAAGTCCATATTCACCTTATGAATTAATAATAATTACTAGTAAATATTATATATATATATATATATATATATATATATATATATATATATATATATATATATATATATATATATATATATATATATATATATATATATATATATATGTATATTATAATCATTATTTTATGTTATAACAACTTTTATCTTATGTTTATTACACTGTTTATACAAGATGACTGGTAAAGAATGCTTCTAGCATTCAGTCTATCTTTTGTACCGTATTATCATTTGATCAATAAAGTTTTTGAAATAAATAAATAAATAGTTGTAAATTAAAAAAAAATTAAACTTATATCACATTTATTTTAAATGCTATAATTAAAGCCATTATCTGTCCACTGCTTTAAGGACAGTTCTGAGCCATTTGTTTAGAGCAGGGTTTCCCAAACTTTTGTTTACTGCCCACTTTGAAAATACATTATTTTTTAGCGCCCCCATTCTTTCACCTACTTAAAAACCACTATTACTTCAAGATCAACAAATCATCCCCCGAGCCTCTACACAACGCTCCCATTTTTTTCTGGGTTTTTTACCGCCCTTTAGGCCTGTAGCGCCTACAAGGGGGCGTTAACGCCCACTTTGGGAAAGGCTGGTTTACAGAGTCCTATTGCATTAATTAGTACAGGGTCGCTACTCGGTAACGTTTTTTCTCACCAGTTGTTGACATTTTGAACACATTAGTATATACTTCTAGTATTTGAAAATTAAATATTTCTTTACTTTTTAAAGCTTCATAAAAAAAAAGCTAGAAAAAAGCTTTATGGTGCACTTACGTATGACTACAGAATCTACTAGCGCTATTGGTTTAAAATTTAGTGAAATTTTACATTTATTATGATAAATAAAAATAAAACGTGAAATTAGAATTATTATTTTCGTTTATTATTATTATTTTACAAAATGTACGAAATTGAGGGAATTAAATTTTACACTAAGTTAAAGTAAAGGGTTCTATTAGTACATTCCAAAGTATGTAGGTTGTAATCATTATTCTCATTATTTCTCACATCTGAAATTAATAAAAATAATAAAAAATGCTATACAGTATGAAGAAAAACAAAAATATCTAACAAAATGATTAATTATATATAATCGATTTTCTAAGAATCTTAAAAGTTTATAAGAGAGATAAAAGATAGAGTCGCAGCCTGACTGTATAATATATATTTATTACAGTCATAATAATTTCATATATTAGACAAATGTAAAATATCAAAATAAATACAACAATACCATTTGTAAAAATCTAACATAATAATTTATTGAATTTAATACATGACTTCACAGAATATTTAAAAATAAATGCAATAAAATAAATTAAATCAATAACAGAAAAACCCGTTCAGTCGTCTTTACGCTTTGAACTCCATTAGTAAGGGGTAAATGGCTACTAGACTTAGGAAAACGGTATTTTCTAATAATAAAAAAAAAAACAAAAAAAAAAACTGATATATACTGCTTATACCTGCTGCTGATTTTCACCACCGTACAACCCGCCATAAACTAAAGTTTCATCTCTACTATTTGGACGAGTGGCGGTCTTCCACCGTGCGTTTTTCAAGGAAGGCACTCTCTTCCACGCATAACCACTCTTTGGAATCAATTTCCAGCAGCAGTATTCCCGAACATCACCCGAACTTCAAGAAAAAAACATTTTAAAAGCCTTTTAACTTTTTAAAAGGCTTTAAAAATGTTTTTTTCTTTGCCGGCCTTTGCCGGCAGCACATCTGCAATGACGTTGGTATTGTGGGTGATCATGGGCGGTGGTAGTCACTTACCATCAGGTGAGCCGCATGCTCGTTTGCCCCCTGTTTTGTAAAAACAAAACTTTTAGACTTCGAATCTGGCTGAAGAAAAAGTCTTTGTATGCCAATATAAGTTATGGACGAGACTGTTTTGTGATTTGGCTAAATCACCACCAATTGCTCTGATTATTAAAATATACCGTTCAAAGCAGAAAAAACTGAATATAATATACGAGTATATATATAACTCAATATCGGACAAAGTGACTCTCAATGCATTTGCCTTCCTAGCGTCGATATATCCTGTCAGATCAACCTCCTTCGTGCAAACCGTCGGGATTAACTCCTCACGATTTCATGATGAGCCAAACTGACATGTCTATATTGTCGCTGATGAAGGATGATAATTCATCACTGGTGTTCTGTAAGTATACGAAAGCTCTAACAAACCTCCCTAGACCAGGTACAAGTGGAAATATATTGTTAGTAATGGAAGTCTAAAAGCCCCATTATGAGTAATATTTCCTATAAGATTGACCTTCAAGGGGTTCTCCCAGGAAACCACCGTGATTAAATCTTCTTAAATTTGTCACTTAAATTTGGGTCAATTAGCTTGCTTTCATCTTCATCTATCATCTCTCACAGGTGCCGGCGTATACCAATAGCACAGCAAGGGATACCATTCCATTTTCATTCGTTAAAAAACTGACAAATAAATCTATAGATAGAATTGTTTCGATCAACGCTCATATGAGAAAGAACAAGATAGCGCATGTCACCTAAGGATGGGTAATATCGACACCACCCTAATATCTATATATTGGGTACCTCTAGATATTGATGGCGGAAAAAAGTCTCTCTTTTTTTATATAGTGCATACCAGTAGGATACCTATATTTATTTCGATCAGATGTTTTACTTTGATATTATATATTGGATGACCGATACTCGTATTTAAAAAAAAATTATTTGACCAATATACAGATATTGTGTCTACAATATATAGATATTGCTTTATATTAAGTACCCACTGGCGATGCGCGACTTTACTAATTCGACTACTAATTATTCAATTGGGCAAATCATTCATATTATTCGAATGATTTTAAAATCATTCGACTATTAATTTTATTCATTCGACTACTAATGTACTAATATTATTCATTAGTAGTCGTTGATGTACGAATCGACACGAACATAGCCGAGTTGATCCGATCATTGCAATTTTTTAATGGATAAGAGTATTGCCGATTTAAATTTAGTAAATATTACAAATTGTCGATAAAAATAAGTATAGTTTTTATAGGTGATTTTTTTGGTGGATGATAAAGAACCCCGCCTGCGCTAATGGGATACGCTGGCGGAGCACCAGTGAAGGGTGATCGATGAGAATGAAAACAGGCCAGTTAACTCATCATGATGAATTCATTAGGAATTAACCATGATAGTTTCCAGGGGGAACCACGAGGAGGTCGACCTGGTTGGGTATATTGCTAGCAATCGGATTTTTTGTCTCCATTACTAACAATCCCTTTCTCCCTTTTATAGGTGATTGCGAAAGTATTAAAACACGTAATTAACTATTCTCGTATTAAAACTCGTCATTTTTGCTGACGTAGTTATCTAATAATAATAGATATAGACTGTGGAATGAACGTAAGCAGATATAGGGAAAGGACTTTGTTGTAATAAGTGACTACTGACTAGTTAGTAAAAACATTCGAATACAGAAATTAGTATATTACATAATAGTAGTAGAATTATAAAATTAATAATGACTAATTATTCGAATATCAAAATCATTCGGATTCGCGCATCGCTAGTACCCACCCCTAATGTCATTCTATCATACGGACTCGCTGGCGATAACGATTCTATCAATAGATTCGTCTATACTTTGTCTAGTTTATCGTTCCATTTTCATCTTTAAAAATGCTCAGTATAATAAAAGCATATTGAGAGTTACTTTTGCTTTTTACGATTGCAAAAAGAAAAATGAAAATCGGTTTAGAATTCATGACGTGATTGTGTTACATACTCAGTGCAAAAAAAAATTCAAACAAAGTGTATCCGCTTTTTGGAAGTTACATAAATATAGGGCGAATATTTAAAATTCGGCTGCTAGATCTTTCGTTTCTGACTTCATTGAACATTGTCCTTACGTGAAAAATAAATGTCGTGCTAAATATATAAACAGATTAATCGACTTACTTGTATGGGCTTGACGTTTCCTTGGAAAATAATATATTATACGTAAAAAAAAATGCCAGCATTTTACATATTTGTTGTGCTAATTCTAATAAGTAGTGTGTCGACGGTACAACGGTCACAAGTTGATGAAGGTTATTCTATGGGATTTTACTCTAACTGTAAGTAGAAAATATTTTTTTTTGTATTTAATGTGCAATATCATCATATTGTCACTTTAGCCGTTAACTGTCCACTGCTTAATATAGACCTCGTAAAGTTCTTAAAACATCACCAAAACCTAACTACGGTTGCCATTTTCAATTGTGGCAACTACTGGTAAAAATCCCCATAGGGGGAAACCAATGTTATTTTTAATGGATGATAATGGAATGGTAACCCCCTGCGCTGTTGGTATACGGAGCACCAGTGAGGGATGATAGGTGTCAATGAAAGCAGGTCAGTTAGCCCATCGTGACGAATTCTATTAGAATTAACAACGATGGTTACCAGGGGGAACTGCGTGGAGGTAACCTGATAAGATGTATTGGTAGCAATAGGTCAGTTAGACCCCATTATCAACAATCCCTTTCCCCCCCGGAAACCTATGTTCAGCAGTGGAAAATAACGGTTTATATGATGATATTTAAATTATAAAAACTGATTCTAAATAAAATAGAGAACAAATAAAGATAAGAGAAATTGACAGTGAAAATATAATGTACATTTTTAATCTTCAAGAATTATGCTTTTTCTTGGGTGTCGTGAGGGACTAAGGGAGAGCGAGGGATGGACAGCAGCGTCCTTTTTAAAAACAACTCTAAAGACTAACTACGATTGTTAATCCAGTGGATTGCCAAGCGTGGCAATTACTGGCAAATCCCTCCCTCAAGGGCGGATTATGTTCAGCGGTGGACTGTTAAAGGCTGATATGATGATATGATGACCTTTAATAGTCATGTACATTAATATTGTATTGTATTTGATGTTTGTTATAATATACTATATTGCAAAATACTGTTGGTATTTCTATAAATAAACAAATAAATTATAATGTATGAGGCATGAGGTGTGCCATAATTATCGTGTGATGTTCATGTCTATAGGCGACACTTGCCACTTTTCATCAAGTAGGTCATCAGCTTGTTTGCCATTTTAAATTGCATAAAAAAGACATAGATTTAAACATAATTTTACATATTTCTTCAGGTCCTGGTTCAACGAAACCAGCAATAATTTCAAAGGAGAGTTTGAATTATCTCGGCATAAAGGTCATAGGAGCTAAAGCGACCCCGGCGTCGCCCAGAAGGACATACTCTTACTATCAAATGAAGGATTTGGCTAGAGATTCTACGATGAACTATGGTCGAAAGACTGTGTTGTTCGTCTCTGGATATATGGACAATCCAAACTTTCCTTTCGCAAGGATTGTGGAAACCAGTTATAGAAATTTAGGTTACAACGTCTGGTTGCTGAATATGTACAAATTCGTTACCATGGATTACGCAGTGTGAGTATTAATATGTTATCACCATAATTTAGCCATTTTCGTTAGATATAGACATCATCATTTTATACCACAAGAACTGGTTTTTAACCTCTTTTTTTACATCACGAAGGTAGCAAATAAGCAAAGAGCCCGTTTGTTAGTAAACGGTCACTATAGTCTATTAACTCTTGTGACACTAGAGATGTCACGTGCACATTGCCAACCCTGATGAACCCGTAACCCTTTTTATAGAATCCCACACCCGTTTGCATTGATCGTAACTATGGAATTATAATTCATAGTCATGTCAACATTCCCCCTCATCTCGAGGGAATAACTATTCATTTTGCAATATCAACGTTAATACGTTGATATTCTATTAATATAGAAACCAGAGTTCTCTTAAATCTGTGCTCTTAGCTTAGGTACTCTGCTTTTAAATACTTTATTAACTCCAATTATTAATACATTACTTGCCTAAATTTTCATTAATTATTGCTATTGTGAGCTACTGACAGAAAAGGGATTGATAGTAATGAGGTTTAAATTGCTGATATGGGTCTCCTGTCAGGTCGAGCTCTATGCGGTTTCCCTTTAAAACTATCGTAATGAATACGTTACGATGGACGTACTAACCAGATTTCATTCTTACTTATCATCTCTTATTGGTGTCGCGCCAGCGTGTATAGCGATAGCGCAGACTGGGATACCATTTTATTTTTACCCATTAAAAAAATAAACAAAATATGTGTTTTATGCAACTAAAAATGGCAAACACCATCTAATAGAAAGTGATAACTGTCGCTTATGCGACGAACTACACCACAGATACTACACAATACACTGTAATATTCATGGTGCCATTAAGACGTTGTTTTTTCTGGGAAGTAAGGTATTATGCCTCCGTATCTTGTAATTTCTTTGCTATATCCCATCCTTCAAATTGAAACAATCATGAAAACAAAGATATTTTGCAACAAAAATACGAGTAAGGTAGAGGTACTAACTTAGTATTAATTACAGACGTTTCATTTCAGGGTCGCTCGTGTAGCACCAGAAGTCGGAAAACATGTCGCGGAAATGTTGTACAACTTGTCTCGTCAAGATGTTGGGTTCGACCCTAAGAAATTAGAAATACTGGGCTTGAGTCTTGGAGGGCAGACCATGAGTTTCATTGCCAAGTCTTATTATGCATTAGCAGGCGTTAAAATCGGCAGACTCACCGCATTAGACCCAATGGGACCTTGCTTTAGGAATTTAGGCCCAGAAAACAGGTTGGACAAGAGTGATGCTGATTTTGTAGAATTAGTGGGCACTAATATAGATGGTTATGGGGTTGCAGAACCTTTGGCTCATGTGAATTTCTACGTTAACGGCGGAGAACATCAAGCTCATGATGTTTTATTTATGCCCTGCGAAATGCTCTGTAGTCATTTAAGATCATTCACTTTATGATATTCAGCGTTGCAGAATCCAAATTCTTTTATAGCAATGGAGTGTGAGTCTGTGCAACAGGCCAGAGACAAGAATTGCTATGGACGAAAACCACTAGTTACAAATGTTTTGGGTCCCAACGTCGACAAGACGAAGCATGGCGTATTTTATCTGGCAACAACCCATAGTTTTCCATACCATATGGGTGTGAAAGGATTGAAAAAGAAATATGAACCAATTTACAACGACGTTAAAGCTATAAATCCAGATGGTTTAGTAATATTATAATATTCTTGTAGGTACTTAATAAATATTTATACAAAAATTTTACTGTAAAACCCATTACAAGTAAATGTCTAGTTTTAATGATCCATTATAAATTTACCAACATTTATGGAAAAATGAAAATTATGTCAACTTGTATTAAACCTGTTGGTTGGAACCTTTAAAATTGTTACTTTTACTTTTACGAATATTATTAGAATTTGGCAGATATTATATTAGTATTCCCTCACCAGAGGGATTTATTTTTTTAATTTATTTATTTAATTTTAATTTACTTTCCTTTGTACCAGATAGATGATATCACAGGGAGACTTTGTACAAAAGTCGTTTGCTTGGGCACCTCTGTCCTATTCGTGTCTACCGTAAGCAGTTGTTTGCATGGCTGTGTTTCAGTTTGAAGGGTGGGATATGGCAGTGAATTTACAGGGTACAGAGGAATAACACCTGAGTCCTCAGGAATGGCAACGCATGGCGGGTATCATGGGTGAAATAGTATACTCTGTTATGTTCATAGTACTGCTCATGTCTATAGGCGACGGTTAACACTTTCTATCAAATGGGCCGTCAGCTTGTTTGCTATTCTAAGTAGTATAAAAAAAAAGATATATTATTAGTATATTTTGGTTTTATAAATGTAACACTGTAATATAATAAGCAACTGTCGATTGCTTTACATTACAACGAACTATATAAAAAATATACCTCCACGGTATACTCCTAACAATTTATCAGTTTTTTTTAACCGACGTCTTATAATTACTGCTGTTTCTAATAAATGATTTATTCCTAAATGCACTTTTTTATCAATATTGTATTTGTAATTTTTAAAACTAAATGTAGAACAGCATATTAACTAAATATGCTATTCTAGAATTTTTATATGTAAAATTAAGATTTGTATTATTAATATTTGAATGTAAGTAATATAGTTCATACGTTATGTATGTATGTATATTTGATTATTATGTGATAGGGATATTTATATATATATATATATATATATATATATATATATATATATATATATATATATATATATATATATATATATATATAACTCAATATCGGACAAAGTGACTCTCAATGCACTCATTCGATATATCCTGTGATCAATTGTGATTAACTCCTAACGACTCATGATCTGACATGTCTATATTGTCGCTGATGAAGGATGATAATTCATCACTGGTGTTCTGTAATTGTATACGAAAGCTCTAGCAAACCTCTCTAGACCAGGTACAGGTGGAAAGATATTGTTAGCAATGGAAATCTATGAGTAATATTTCCTATGAGATTGACCTTCAAAGGGTTCTCCCTGGAAACCACCGTGATTAAAACTTCTTAAATTTGTCACGATGGGCCAATTGATGTATACCAATAGCCAATTCCATTTTCATTCGTTAAAAAAAAGACAAATAAATGTCTATATTGTCTGTGTATATATTGGGTACCTCTATATATATATATATATATATATATATATATATATATATATATATATATATATATATATATATATATATATATATATATATATATATATATATTATATATATATATATTCCATACATTTTATCTTTATTTAGACACAAAATGCATATTGGAAAGTATCTAGAACATATTTTTTTTACCAGAGGGTGACTTTGTACAAAAGGCGTTTGCTTCGGTTACAATTGTCCCATTCGTGATTCTACTGTGAAGCAGTTGTTTTCATGCTGTGTTTCAATTTGAAGGTTACGATATGACAGTGAATTTACAAGATATAGAGATCATAACATCTTAACCCTCAGGAATGGCAACGCATAGGGGGTATAATGGGCGAAACAGTATGCTCTATTATGTCCATGGTAGTATTCATGTCTATAGGCGACGGTTACCACTTTTCATCAGGTGGGTCGTCAGTTTGTTTGTCATTCTAAGTTACATAAAAAGAAGCTTACCAATGAGACTAAGCAAGTGTGTTTAGGCAATAAATATAATAATAAAATAATATAAATATAAAATAAAACAAAATAATATAAAATAAAACAATAAAAATAAAATAAAAAATAAAAACCACGATCCTTCAGTTACACGGTAAAACTAAGGAATTTTAGTTTATGTATAAACATTTTATAACTATGTAATAAAATAAATATTTGATAAATAAAAAGACACAACTTGAAAATTTTTTTTATTAAAAAAATAACTACTTGCTCGCGATTTCGTAAAAGATTTTGAGAAGTAGAAAAATCAATAAAGTAAATCACTTCTAGATGGCATATTAAAATGAGACATACACGAAATATTTAGTTAGGTCTTCAGTCATACAACTGTGAAAACCGTATCCAATTTGGTGCAGTAGTTTTTACGTGATGTTAAAATAAATATCATCGTCATTTCAGCCGTTAACTTTCCACTGGCGAATATAGGTCTCCTCCATAAAAGAAGTTTTGCCAGTAGTTGCCACACTTGGCAGGTGGGTTGGCAACTGTACTTAGGCTTTGGTGATATTTTAATAGGGACGCTGCTGCTCATGTCTCGACCGTTATATTCCTTTAGTCGCCGCTTAACTTATCAAAATCGATTTATAGCTATGAATTATGAGGTAACAACAAAAAAATACATCCGAATTGAGAACATTCCTATTTTTAAAGTTGGTTGAAAAGAAATTTTAAAAAGTATTTATTTTTTTTAGTCAAATATATATAATAAAATCACCATCATAATCATATTTAATCAGTTTTCAAAGAATGCAAGGAATCTTTAAGACAAATATATTCGTGGCCATATTTTTAGGGTTCTGCACCAAAAAGGTACAAGGGACCTTTTATGATGATTTTGTTTGTCCTTCTGTCACAGACCATCTTAGTAACTACTAATGCTATCGACTTGAAATTTGAAATAGTTTCATATATTATTTTTATTTTCTTTACTTTATTTATAGGAGGTCCAAAAGGGGTAGTACCTACTTAATATTTTAAAAGCGATCTATTAGTCCTAATTTACTAACTCTAAGGCTTTTTTTGTACATTTTAAAAACGATTTTTATATATTTTTATATATATAAAAATCATATAGTAGTATTAATTTTTATAATTTTTATTTACGTACGGAAATATGAGAAGAAAAACCATTTCTCGTTAACTTCGAAGTTAGTGCAGCAAAAATCTGAAGTAACTTCAGTTTATACTCATTTATCTTACATTATATTGCAGGAAAAATAAAAGAAAGATTCTAACTAGTACCGTTGTTGAGTATTTATCAGAAAATCTCCCAAAACGAGGTTGACTGGAAGAAATCCCTTTAAGGGATAAGTCCGCCTATATATGTACATTTTTATTATAACCTAATATCTATATTAAGAGTGAATGTACGAAAGCATATATTTAAATAAATAGATAAACAAAGAAATCTCTTCAAGGTATAAATCCGTGCACCTTGTTTTCTTTATAACTTGATATATCGTCATAGTCGTAGAATACTGACGGATCTGACAAATATTACATATAAAGATCCGTCAGTATTCTACGACTATGACGATATGTGAATGTACAATAAAGAAAAATAAACAAATAAATAAACAAACTTGGTTATATTTTCCCGCTTTTCACTATAATGAGAACTCACGAATATCAATAATAATAACTATTAGATGTCTATTTCATATTAGAAATCCAATAAAAGGCCATTTTATTTCACATCTGTTTATTTATGTCCGGAACCCTCGGCGTGTAATTTCAATTCGCACTTGATCGATTTTTCACGGACTGGCGGAATCCTCGGTGATTCTAACTTAAACTTGACGTCTTTTCCATATTTTTTATTTTTAATCTATTCACCGTCAGTATAGAATTTTAACATTGACTTACGAACATTGATTTAATACTGAAGGTTATTTATTACCTACCTATATTTTTTTAACATTGACGTTTTCAACGCTTTTGACGTAAACTTTATTGTTCAGCTGTATGACGTCAAAGTGCTAATAATCGTAAAAAATATAAAAAAAAATATAAATTAATTTTTGCACATAATAGTACATCTTTATAACCTCGTATTGTACGTAATTATTGTAAATTTTGTAGTTCATGACTTTTTCCATGTACACACATGTATGTTACATGTGTATACTTTTTTTATTATCTCGTTTTTGCATGCTATTTCATATATGTGGATTTTTTTAAATAGGAAACTAAAGAAACAAACTAAACTAGACTAGGATTGCTTAGCGATAAAGCCGCCTTTTGTATTACTTTTCATTAAAATTTACTGTACTTGTTATTTCTCTTTTTACTTGTTGCAATAAAGTGTAAATAAATAAATTCTAAATGGTATACTAAGATAAAACATGAAAAAGATTTTAAGTTAAACCTTTAAATGTATAATTGAGAAAACGCACTTAATTTGGCTATTTTCGCATGATGCCCTAACAAACATACAGCAGTAAAACAGACAGACAGAAAAAAATCTAAAAAATGCTGTTTTAACATATGTTGGTCTTATTAAGACCTTTCATATTAATTTTTCTTAAATATCCCATATGTACAAACATCACTTAGTTACAATTTTATTTTTTTATTGTAACGTAAGATTTCTGCATTATGTATAAGTTTAAATTAATGGCATGAACTGTGATCTCAGAACTCAACGTCTTCGTCAGAACATAGGCAGCATTAATAATTAATCTCCAAATGGCGTGATACACATCTGTTCAATACTATATGTACAATATAACCTTCAAGAAAAGAGCATATTCCTTTTTAAAAGGCCAGCAGCACACCTGCAATGCCGTTGGTGTTGTGGGTGACCATGGGCGGCAGTAGTCATTGCTAGCAATATTAGGTCGACTTCCACGTGGTTCCCCCTGGAAACCATCGTGAACAATTCTTGTTGAATTCGTCACGATGGCCTAACTGACCTGCTTCATCCTTACCTATCATCCTTCATTGGTGTCCTTCTGCTGTATACCGATAGCGCGGGCGGGTTTACCATTCCTTTATCAGTCATTAAAAAAAATACTATATGTATTGAACAGTCAATAGGATCCAAAATATTCGCTAGAGATTTGACTATTGGGCGAAGCCAACTGACAAAGTTGAAGACCGACACCCGTGATATAATTTCCGCCACATCTGAGATTTTGAATGAGATTGAATACTTGAATTAATATAATAACTTGACTTCAATAGTGCTTCTCAGCAGGTCTTAAGATGAATATGGATAACACTAAAATCATGTCTAACGTCTATGCCACACCTTTACCGGTTATGATTGAGAACTCTACGCTCGAAGTTATCGAGTATATATATCTGGGATAACTCTTAACTAACTGGGATTCGATAAGTTAGGATCGGATAGGACAGGATCGGATAGATCCGATTCGGTAAGTCCAATTTCAACTGGTAGGTCAATCGAAGAATCCAACTTGGTCGAAAAGCAATCGGGAAATTACGCCACAGCTTCTCATCCAGAATACCTCAACATTTAAAGACTAAGGCCTTTAACCAGTGCGTGTTGTCAGTGACCTATGGAACCGAAACATGGTCCTACACGATTACTCGTATGCAAAAGTTTCATATTACTCAGCGAACTATGGAAAGGGCTATGCTCGGAGTTTCTTTGCGAGACAGAATCTGAAATGAGGATATCCGCAAAAGAACTAAAGTCACCGACATAGCCCGAATATTGAGAAAGCTGAAGTGGCAATGGGCTAGCCACATAGCTCAAAGAACCGATGACCGATTGCAAAAAAAGGTTCTTAAGATGCGACCCTGTACGGGTAATCGAGTGTAGACTTCCCCCAACTAGATGGAGTGACGACCTGGGCAAAAAAGAATCGGCTCACGACCGTTCTTTATGCCAGTCTATAACAGGGACAGGGCGACCTGTGTTCAGCAATGGACAGATAATGGCTGAGATGTTGATGATCATGATGATGAAGCTTAGTTAATTTTTAAACCACTATAAAAAGAAGAAAGTTCTTAATTTGTATTTTCTTTTGACGTCTTCGGGTATCTGGCAGGCAACATGATCGCCATTTCTAAGCCGTTTTTGTTTATGTTTGTAATCGATAGGTACTCCAAAGCTGATTTCGTAATTTACATCAATGTTATTACGATTGAAGTACACGTAATATTTTTGCGAGTAAATGAATAAATAATAAATCTTATAACCTGTTTAAATATGCAATTTAAATAATTATAGAGAGAAAAAAAATAAAAAATAAAAAAAACAAGCCCAGAAGTTCAAATAGGTATCAACGACATGCCAGTGACAAGTTAGTATATCATTTTTTTCTATTATTTCTCACTTGTTAAATATACATAAGTAGAGAAGAACACCATATCATTACATAAGTTAACATAATACCTGTTGGCATATATAATTGTGTGTGGAGCCTTCATGAAAAAATCTGCTCATTATTTAAAACTACCAACCAAGAATAAACGTAACAGAAAAAAAAAATTAAGAAAAAAAATGTTGTCTATGTTTTATTTCATTTTGGCGCCAATCGTTTTCAATATCGTGACAGCTAGGAATTTGCAACATCTGAGATCAGTGACTGGATATGCATATGGCTATCTATCTGATTGTGAGTAAATGTAATGTTTATCATCATCATCATCATCATTTAATTCTTTATCCGTCCACTGCTGGACATAAGCCTCCCCTATACATTGCCATAATGTTTATAACTATATACAATTCCTGGAACAATATGCTAAAAATATTCTAACCTAACCTATTTAAAATGCAATATACCCTGTCAGGTACCTTCTACGTGGTCTCCTCTAGAAACCATCGTGATGCATTCCAGGTGTATTCATCACGATGGACTAGCTGACCTGCCTTTTCATTCTAACCTATCATACTTCACTGATAGCCCGCCTGTGTATATCGTACCTGTGTACAAAAGTCGATTGCTTGGGCACCTCTGTCCTATTCGTGTTTCAACCGTGAAGCAGCTGTGTTTGCGTGGCTGTGTTTCAGTTTGAAGGGTGGGATATGGCGTGAATTTACTGGGTACAGAGGAATAACACCCGAGTCCTCAGGAATGGCAACGCATGGGGAGTATCATAGGCGAAACTGGTACTACTCATGTCTATAGGCGACGGTTACCACAGTCCATCAGGTGGGCTGTCAGCTTCTTTGCCATTTTAAGGCGTTTAAAAAAAAATCGTTAGCGCAGGCGAGGTTACCATACCATTATCATCTATTAAAACAAAAACCTATTGGCGCATGGCCAATAGGTTTTTATAACGCACTTTTAAAAATTGTATATTTTTTGCAATTGACGAGTGACGCCAAATTTGAGTCACATGTCAATTTCATGAGTCAAATTTTTGTACTAAAATTGTAATAAAAAATTAAATTAGTGTCATTAGTAAAAAAAAAAAAAACGATATGTCAGCCAACAATTGACAGATTTTTCTTTGCTGTTGTTTTTGACAATCTATATTAAAATGGTAAAATTCCAGACAATTTATCTTTTTGAAGACTAGGCAGCATGGTCTCCGACCTTAGCCTGTTCCAAACGGAACAAACGTACTAAAAAAAAAAAAAAATTAAAATGGTAAAATTGCTATATGAGTCCTATATGTAATTTATACTCAAAGTAAAACTAGAAACATTTAACTTTTAATACGATAAGTTTATTTTAGTAATAATTATAATTAAGAATACTATTTTATTTTTTTATTTCGATAACAAATGAGCTCCTATTTCTAAAGATTGAATGAATGAATGAATTTTATTTACTAAATATTGGTGATTGCCAATAGCAGGTCTTACTGGGTATAAAGACATAATAAGGTACCTATTATATCTCTATTAATTTCAATGCTCACATTTCAAATTGAAACACAGATATTAAAGTATAGCTGTGTGTGGTATACAGGTAACCATTTATTTTAGTACAGTCTCCCTCTTATAGAAAGTAGTAATGGTCGCCTATAATCATAAACAATAACATCAGTTTAATAGACTTATTAAAGACATATGAATTCATACCATACAATTTGACTACCGTGTCCCAAACTATCTATATTAAAGTATATCCAATTGAAATGGATAATTTTATCTTAAAATTTTTGCCTGTAAATAACCTAGTTAAATCCCACTACCTATCCTTATAATCACTTAGTCCTCCTTATTTCCTATTAGTTTTATGTGTGTTACCTTTGTATATTTGTATCTATTTATATATGTATATATATTTAGATATATAAATTTATTTATGTAAGTGTATATGATTGTACTGTCATAGATATTTATTATTTCATATTATTTTTACAGAACTATTTTTTTAACGCGCCACCTACCTGTTTATTCTTTGATTCTTTCTACCCAAAGATTGTATGGAAGAGATTGCTTAGCAATAAGACCGCCTTTTGTACTACAATATACTTATTGAGAATTGTTCAACAAATTTTGTAATGTTGGTGCAATAAAGTGTTAAATAAATAAATTAAAAAAAAAATTATATACAAGTATATATACTACAGTACTGTGATATAAGAAGGATAAATTTTATTAAACTGATCTATTTGTCAGTAATTCGTTTCATTAAATCAGTTGTATATAAGAAAACACCCCAATTTTAATATAAAAGAATGTCAAAATATCTGATAATTATCGAATTCTGGGATTTAATTTTCTTTTTAAATCAAATCATATTTATTTGCTTGTTACATGGTGATGAAATAAGGTGTTACATATATGAGTTAGTACATAATATGCAGCACCCCATAGGGATATGCAAATATTAAATTGTATTTGGTTTTATTTTTTATTATTACATTGAAATCACAAAATTTCTAATTACAACATTCTTAATGTCAAATCCTTACATCGACATAAATAGTACCATGAATATCATAAAATATTCTCTGATACCCATGGTATCTCCAATGCAGTATCATTTTTGGCCCTTCTTTATTCGATTCTTACGACACTCACGGGATAGAAAGGGGTGGCTTATTCTATGCCGAGACCACGGCCAATTATATTACGTATAAAAAATTACATAATACATGCCTTTTAAAAGTATTTAAAATGTTACAATATCGTCCTTTTGGACTTTGTGATAAGATTTATGACGAACGAAATATTATAGTTACTGAGTTGATTTGGGTATGAACAAAAAGAAGAAATTGAGTCCAAAAATTCGGAATTTAATTTCATGGTAGACTCCCCATTTTCTACTGTTCTTATAGCAATTTACAATTTTTTTTTCTCAATAGATGCTCACGTTATAGCAAGAATTATAATATTAAATCTTAACTTCAATCATTTAGGCAAAGTATTTAGTAATAAATAAAGTTAGTAGATTTTTTATAAAATAATTTATACGTTACGTATAATTAAATTTACAGGTCCTGGTAATGAAAATCCTATAATTATGTCAGAGGATAGTTTGAGAAAACTGCGCATTAAAGTCATAGGAGCTAAAATGACATCTGGGTGGATAAAAAAGAAATACAATTACTATCAAATGAACGAGATGGGCAACGACCCCACAATGGACTACAGTCGAAAGACCGTCTTATTTATAAGTGGATACTTCGACAATCCAGATTTTGCCGCTTCCAGAATTATGGAGTATAGTTACAGACTTCTCGGCTACAATGTGTTTTTGCTAGATATGCATAAATTTGTTGAGCATGATTACCCATCGTAAGTATAGTGTTACCTTATCAACATCATCATTCAGTTATGTATCGCTCCTGAACCATTTGCATATATTGATTTTCTGTAACATGTGTATTTAAGATCCATAATCTCGAATTTACCAGAGGGAGACTTTGTACTAAAGTCGATTGCTTGGCTACTTCTGTCCCATTCGTGTTTCAACCGTGAAGCAATTGTGTTTGCATGGCTGTGTTTCGGTTTGAAGGGTGGGATATGGCGTGAATTTACTGGGTACAGAGGAATAACACCTGAGTCCTCAGGAATGGCAACGCATGGGGGGTATCATGGGCGAAACAATATACTCTGTTATGTCCATGGTACTGCTTATGTCTATAGGCGACGGTTACCACTTTCCATCAGGTGGGCCGTCAGCTTGTTTGCCATTCTAAGTTGTATAAAAAAAAATTTAGAGATACGAGATGGTTCACGTTCACTTTATATAGCGAGGAATACTCTACACAGTCCAACTACTTTTGCCTGTATGGATTTGTTAAAAAATAACCTTTTTTCTCCATCAATATTATAAAAGAATGACTTATCTGTTTCACAATCGAATTAATATTTAAAAAATTGGCATAAGTATTTACTACATCGACTATTGTTTATAATTTTAAGTTCGCATTTTTATAATTTTGATTTATTAATAATTATTGTAGTAATATAATTAGTCGTATTGAAAATAATATTTAGGTATAGATATAAATTCCTCAATTATATATAAATATGGCCAAATAGAGAACTAATTTTATTATAAAGATTTATTTTGTCATAACTTTGTAATAACTGTATGCAGATATATTAAATGTGAAGAAGCTAACACAAATGCTTCTAATTACAATATTTCATTAGGGATCATTGTCGTGTGCATGTTTACTTTTTATTTATTTTATTTTTATATATATATTTATTTCAGAGTCACTCGGAATCTCCCGGCTATAGGAAAGCACACCGCTGAAATGCTATACAACTTGACTCAACAAAATGTAGGATTCGATCCTAAGAAATTTGAAATGGTTGGTTTAAGTCTTGGAGGGGAAACGATTAGCTTCATAGCTAAATCCTATAAAGCGCTCTCAGGTGTAAAGATAAGCAGACTCACTGCTTTAGACCCATCCGGACCCTGTTTTAGAAATCGAGGCCCAGATCGTAGATTGGATAAAAGTGATGCAGATTACGTCGAAGTGATAGGCACAAATATAGATGGATTAGGTATAGCTACTCCTGTGGGTCATGTTAATATTTATATAAATGGTGGAGAGTATCAAATGTCAGATATTTACTGGATGCCATGTGAAATGTTCTGTAGTCACATAAAGGTCTTTGAGATTTGGTTCTCGGCGTTACGGAATCAAGATTCTTTCATCGCGATCCAGTGTGATACGATGCAGCAAGCCAGGGATAAGGATTGTTATGACAGAAAACCATTTGTCACGAATCTACTTGGCCTCAAAGTGGATAAGACGAAGCATGGAATATTTTATTTAGCGACTACATACAATTATCCTTACTATATGGGCGAAAAGGGATTGAAAAGAGAAAACGAACCTGTTCACAATTTACTAAAAGCAACTAATAAAGCTGATATTGTTGTAGTATGAATTACTGTGTTTATTTTTAATTACCAATATTATCTTAAGAAATATTTTTTTTTTATACCACAGTGGTGGCAAAGAAGCATACAGCCTGTCTGATGGTAAACGGTTACTGTCGTTGTGGTGTCACGTGCGCGTTGGCGACTCTGAAGAAAGCCCTTTTTGAAGAAGAAGAATCAAAATAATTTAATACACAAAATAATCTTCTTGTCTGATATTGTAACTCTTGTCTGAATTGCTATATAGTAGGTTTAGCACAATGACATCTGGTTCACTCTTCATACTCGTGAACGGGTGCTGCCTGTAGGAACTGGTCTGTTTTGGTCACTGAAAGTGATTTATTATTATTATTTTATTATTATTATTTTATTATTATTGATTTGTTTTAATTATTTACCATACATTTTAAATTTTATGATCTGATACTGCTTAGTAGTTTGTATTCACATAAATTCATTATTTATGTAATAAAACTTTTTGAAAAAAGCAACAGCTGAGTTTCTTGCTCGTTCTTCTTGGCTGAAATTGCGTTCCAAATGGGCGGTAATGACAACTGAATATCCAAAATTGCTTAAATCTAAGTTTACTTGAATAAACATATTTCTTTCTTTATTTTTGTTTTTTTTTTCTTAATTTACTTATTAAATGTAATCCACCGCTTGCAAAAATTAAGTCATTGTGATCATCATATAAGCTGTTAACTGTCCACTGCTGGGGAGAAAGGGATTGTTAGTAATGGAGACTGAGAATCCCATTGCTAGTAATACACCCAACCAGGTCGACCTCCTCGCGGTTCTCCCTGGAAACTATCATGGTTAATTCCTGATGAATTATCATGATGGGCTAACTGGCCTGTTTTCATTCTCATCTATCACCCTTCACTGGTGCTCCGCCAGCGTATCCCGTTAGCGCAGGCGGGGTTACCATACCATTGTCACCCATCAAAAAACTGTCCACTGCTGAATATAAGCCTCCCTCTATTGGGGAGATTTGCCAATAGTTGTCACTCTTGTCAGGCGATTTGCGAGTATGAAAATACTCGATGTTCTATATTTATTATTATTTATTTATTTATTAAGTACAAACTACAATGTTATTTTATACATGGAGCAAATCATAAGCCTTACGGCTTTACCGTGTATCGCTGTCATTGACATTTCATCATCATCATCATCATCTCAGCCATTATCCGTCCACTGCTGAACATAGGTCGCCTCCATAGACTGCCATAAAGAATGGTCTCGAGCCACCTGCATATATTTACTCCCTGAAATGTATATGAGGTTGTCAGTTTAGCTAGTAAGGGTCATCCTACACTGCGTTTGCCCGTCACTCAAGTACCTTTCTTTCTCATAGATTGTCGGTTCTTTGAGCTATGTGACCAACCCAATGTCACTTCAGCTAGCTTATCCTTCGACATATATATAAGTAAAATTACATTTTATAATGTTAATATCTTTAACAAACTATATTAACCAAAAGTTATAAATAATGTCACAGTCATTTATAAAAACAAATTAAGCTGTGAATAGTGTACGATACATAGGTACGATTTAGATAGTACCCACACAATAAAAATAATACTAATCTATTGGATTACTGGATTGATAATTGGAGAATTGGATTACCTTAACCTTGTTATGTTTTGTATACTGTTAACTGTTTTTATATATTGTACGCTTATATAGCAGGACATGGAGATACTATTTAACTCATGTAATACCTTAATTTAACCTATGATCCACAATAAAGTCTTTGTATTTGTATTTATTTATTTGTATTTAAAAATCAACACAATAAAATATATTTTTTTTATTTTTAATTATTTAAACTTTAATGGACAATACACTTTTATATACATTTGGCGGACTTAACACCGGACGGTGTTCTCTATCAGTCAACCATTGAGCAAACAGAGAAATAAGTAAGCGGTGCATTATTGAATAGAGGAAAAATAAAAAGTAATACTTGATATATTTATATAATATAAACATATAATTAGACTAATATAAATATATACATAATATAAATAATACGTACATAAATAAATACATAATATATTATTATATATAAAAACTGTAATAAAAGAGCAAACAGCAGTCTAAATTTTCATAGTATTAACAAGTACTTGTAATGTACCTCTGTCTAAATTTATAGGTATTGTAAAAGACGAATAAGTAGCTAATTTCTTTATAATGTCAAATTTTCAAAATCATTTAATTGATTGCATAGATTTCTAACAAACGTTTTATGTACGAAGTGACATGGCCTACAGCCTCAATGGTCACGTACTGCGCGGTTTCAGAGATGTTTCCTCCCACAAACACTCAGGTTGTGGAATGAGCTCCTTGCCGAGGTTTTCCCAAGAGACTACAGCATGGGGTTCTTCAAAAGGGAGGTTTCTTCAGGGTCGGCAATGGTATTGCAGGTGTTCATAGGCTACGGTAACCACTTTCAGGTGGGCCGTATGCTTGTTTGCCACTCAATGGTATTGTGTAACGTCAAATTTTCAAAATCTTTTATTCAAACGTTTTTTGTTGACGCGAAAGATACGTTGTAAGTCAAGTAAACGAACATCAACTGTTACCGCTTGTAGGAATAAAACTTCAAAAGCGTTTAAAAATATTTGTATTTTTTCAATATTCTATTTAATTCACCATCGTAGGTACAACCCGCCATAAACTAAAATTTCATCCCAACCATCTGGACGAGTGGCGGTCCTCCACCGTGCGTTTTTCAAGGCACTTTCTTCCACGCACAACCACTCTTTGGAATCAACTTCCAGCAGCAGTATTTCCGTACCGATACGACAACATAACCTTCAAGAAAAGAGCATATTCCTTTTTAAAAGGCTGGCAGCACACCTGCAATGCCGTAGGTGTTGTGGGTGACCATGGGCGGCGGTAGTCACTTACCATCAGGTGAGCCGCATGCTCGTTTGCCCCCTGTGTTGTAAAAAAAAAAAAAAATTGTTAAAATGTGTCTATGAATCTGCGTAGTATGAAACAGAGTGTTTGGCATTGACCTTTTTTGTCTGTGTTTGCACTTGATAAGGCTAACTACATGCTATAAGTATTTTCCTAATTACTATTTTTATATTAACAATATGAGTTTATCTGATTGCCTTAGGCAAAATATGTATGAAATAAAGATAATTATTATTATTATTAAAAAAATATTTAACATATTGCTCTATAAAAAAGTATGTAAGATCTATAGATTAAAAATAGTCTCTCGGTCCCTATGTATAGGAATAACAATGTAGTAAATCCTATCGGTTACAAAAATAATTGTCAAAACAACTCAGGATTATCGAATATATTGAGTTACACACAAAAAAAATTGGCGAATGTGAAGTATATTGAAAATAAAAAAAAATCCCGTCCAAGTGCGAGTCAGACTCGTTAACCTAGGGTTTCGTACGAATTATAAATTAAAAATAATATATTGCAAATTTGTTTGTGACGTAACTACAAATTTACGGTTATCGGAAATTTTCCTTTACTTATGCAGTACAGCTATCTTTCTTGCTAAATTGCATTATTCTAGGTCAACAGGAAATATTCTATTTCGTATTCCCTCGAAAATAATAAAATATACGCCATAAATGATCGTATCTTTTGATTGCGTTGACTTAGAAGTTTGATTTTTCACAGTTTTGAAGGGTTGTAGGCTTCAGTATTTGATATTAATTTTAGTTTGGTAACTCCACGCGTTCCTGAGAAAAAAGGATCTTGACAGACGGGCCACAAAGTGATCCTATTGTGTAGACACATTGCTGAAGAAATTAGCTTTTTATGGTGTCTGAGACAAAGCTTTAAATTCAATCGAATCATATTTATCAAACAGAATCCAAAAAGTTGAAGTAAATAGCATCTAACATCTAACTGGTCGCTTGTGCGATTGGGTGTACCTCAAGGGTCTATACTTGGGCCATTCTTTTTTTTAATTTATATTAATGATCTTGCTTATCATACAGGATCAATGTGGTATAGTATTCATTGCAGATCATACGTCTTTTATTTTTAATATTAAAAGATTGACCAAAAATTTTGACGAAAAAAATTGCCTTTTGGAAATGGTTCATGACTAATAATCTAATATAAAACGTTAAAAAACAAAATAAGTAATTTTTTCTTATTCTAAAAATCACAATTTCAATTCTACTATAAAACTAAATTACAACCTCTTGATTTTATAGATTCTACTGTCTTTCTCGGAATCACTCTTGATAATAAAACTCAGTGGGATCTTCATAGTCAAAATCTTGCAACTTAATAAAAATTCTGCGGCATATGTTGTACGCAGGGTTAAACAATATATTAATATTGCCAAATTAATTTATTTTAGATATTTTTACAGTATAGTGTCTTATGAAATATTGCTATGGGGTAAAACAGCAGACATCCAAAATATATTTGTATTATAAAAATTTACAATTAGCGCGATTTATTCTATGGAATGTCATGAATCACTAAGAGATAATTTAAAGGAGCAAATATTCTCCTTGAAGCTTTACAATACATACATCCAACCTGTTTGTTTATACGCAGGACTCTTCAAATGTTTCTTAACAACGATCTCAATAATCTTAACACTAGATACAAATTCAAACTTACTTTTCCGAAGTATCGTTTCGAAAAACATAATAGGTCTTTTATGGGATTGGGCATTGAATGTTAATATTAGATACTGACGAATATTTTGGATTTGCCTTTTAATAAATTTAAAACTGTTATTAAAAACATTTATTTTTTTATTATTTATAACGCATTCATGTACATAATATAGAGTTGTTACAATGTTCTTATGATGAGTAAGTACATGAAACCCTATTTGGGAGTAGCAGTAGTAATTATATCGATAGGCAGTTAATATACATGCATTAATGTCAATTTACATTAAACAAAATAAACAACAATTTAAAATATCATAAAAATAATAAGAAGTCAGTCTAGTTATTGAGGTATATAATAGTTATGTCAATCTGATCAATTATTTGCAAGTCATGTGTGATTTGAACCGTGGCATTGCGCACTTTTGCATTTCAACTGGCTAAAAAGTCGTCAACTGAATAAAAACAATTTGCTATTAAATATTGTTTTAGTTAAGTATGAAATAATTTATTACATTATTTATTAAACAAAACTCATTGCACACTAAACGATTACTCGAATGACAATTGTGCATGGTGCTCAGTCAGTCAGTCAGTCAGTCAGTCATGCATGAGCTTTTTAATGATTATGTAATTTTAAATATCCGATATCCAAAATTACTTGGTCATTACAAAGTATACTAAAATAATACTAAAATAATGTTGAGAGAAAATTAAAAGAGTAACTGTTGTGTTTCTTGTGGGTTCTTCTTAACATATAATAACTTTCTGAATTTGATCCCGTGAAAAAGTATACTTGAATAAAGAAGATTTGAATTTCATAAATAAGGGTGCCATTTTCCCTTTTGATCTCCAGAATCCTGAAAATAAAAACTTTCTTTTTCTCTATTTTCTATATCTAATTTAACCTATGAAAATAATATCTAAATGAAATACCAGTTTTTTTTTTTTTTTATTATCTTAGACTATTATTTAACAGAAAAAAAAAATGCAAATTTTACAAGTAGACAGAATTTAAAATGCGTGTAAGGTCACTCAGCGAGAGCGTACATATTTAGCATTTAAATAGTAGAACAAAGTGGAGATTTTGTTAAAGTAATTATTAAATATTGAGAAAACCTAGCATGTGTGAGACGTTCATTGCGAAAGAAAATATAGTTATTAATAAATAAATTATCAAATATATGTAAGAAAAAAAAAAAACAAAATGCTGTCTATGATTTATTTGTTTTGCGCGCCAATTTTAATCCATTTTGTGGCATCTGTACCGGTAAAAGATACAAGATATATGACAGGATATAATACAGGCTATCTTTCAGAGTGTAAGTAAAATGGTATCTATTTGTGCCTTATAAGAATATTTGCTCTTCCCTGCGACTTTGTCCTATCGACTTTATCCTACTTTATATCTTTTGGGATATTTTTAAGAAAGAAATCTTAATCCGGCAGTTTCTTATAATAAATATACTTCTTCTCATTTAAGAGTTTCTTCTTGTCCGGGCAACTATTCATGCATTCTCTTCCAGCCAGCTCTATTCTAGGCCATACCTTTTTCTTTTTCATATTCCATTCTTCAAACCGAAACTCAGCCATCCAAACGGCTGCTTAGTGGCATAAACACGAGCGGAAGGAGTAGATTGTATGCACTCTCTAGTATATTATGAATATTTTCTTATTTTTGTTTTGTATGATTTAACGTAATAAAATATTACATTATCACGTTTTTGAATTTTTTTATTAGATTCTATATTTTCATATTTTTAATTGCGTCTGCGTCACCGGTTTAAGTTTACGTAAAAAGTAGCCTTTTCTATCCCACATAGTACATATATAACAAATTTCAGAGTTTTGTCAAGCTCTTAAGACACTATAAGGTAACAAACTCACTTACACATTTGTAATGCCAATAAGAATTTACAGGTCCCGGTAAAGAAAACCCAGTAGAAATTTCAGAGGAGAGTTTGAGAAAAATCCGTATTAAAGTCATAGGAGCTAAAGCGACACGTCGTTCGATAAGGAAGAAGTACAATTATTTTCAAATTAAAGAGATGGCCAAGGATCCCACAATGGATTACCATCGGAAGACCATACTTTTTATAAGTGGTTACTTTGATAATCCAGATCAACCGCCATCTAGAATCTTAGAGAATAGTTACAGATCTTTGGGTTATAACGTATGGTTGGCTGACGTCTATAATTTTGTAAAAGACCCATATCCAATGTAAGTATATCTAAACTAATCACATCAGTTTTTAACTGTCCACTGCTGAATATAAACCCATCCTTGGGGGGTTTTATCAGTAGTCACCACTCTTGGCAGGCATTGGATTGGCAACCGCAGTTAAGTATTGGAGATTAAGAGGGGCGCTGCTGCCTATTCCTCGCACTCTCTTAGTCGATTTTTATGACACTCACGGGAACGGAAGGGGTGGCCTATTCTATGCCGGGACCACACAGCAAAACCAAGTTAATTAATATTAAAAGAGGAAACGTTTTATTTTTTCCTTGAAATAGAAAACTCAAAAAATATTTAACGATTATAAAAAAATATCCACCTATGTTAAAAAGCTACATTAGCGAGTAACATGGGCTGTATAGTTTTATTTTTAAAAAACCTGCAACTTTTTTTATAACACAGGGGGCAAACAAGAATGCGGCTCACCTGATGGCAAGTGACCAACGCTGCGCATGAGTATTCATAACACCCAAGGCATTTCAGGTGTACTGCCGCCTTTTAAAAAGGAATATGCTTTTTTCTTCAAGATTACGATGTCGTATCGGTTCGGAAATACTGCTGCTGGAAATTTATTCCAAAGCGTGATTACGCGTGAAAGAAAGTGCCTTGAAAATGAATGGTAGAGAACCACTACTCATCCAAATGGTTAGAATGGAACTTTAGTTTGTGGCAGGTTGTATGGTGGTGAAAATCAGCAAAAGGTATCAATCCAAATAATTTCTCAGAACATTCCCCATGATATATTCAATAAAAGATGCATAGAGATACAATATCACTACGCAGTTTCAGTGGGTCGAGCCAGATATTAAAGCGCTGATGATCAATAACTCGAACAGCCCGACTTTGAATGCGGTCTAACGGAAAAAGCTGGTACTGTGGCGCTCCTGCCTATATATAGGTGAGAACAGTATTCCATATTTAGCCGGACTTGAGCTTTATACAATTAAAAGCGGTATTCCAGCGTGAAATACCGTCTCACTCTATTGAGCACTTCTAACTTTTTGGAGACCATCTTAGCCTTTTCTTCCAGATGACCGCAAAATGTCTGACTCGATTTATTAACAAGGGGAGTGCTCTGGAAGTGAGAAGATACGACAAACGACATCTTTTTTGCGGAGAAGGCGAAGACTCGTGTCTTTTGAGGGTTAAATGAATAAAGTTGTGTTCGCTCCAGATCGAAACTTGATAGAGTAAGGTTTCGATTAGACACAAGTCTATTCCGGTACTCATTGGTATGTACCCGCGAGATATTTGCATGACCTGTACTGTCATCCGCATATCAATGAATATTACTAATTTGTAACACGTCATTGAGATGCAGAAAAGACAGGGCTGGGAATAGTACCTTTCTTTCACACCAGTGTTCACAGGTTTTACGTCTGAGCATGCTCCGTCGACTACGACCATAATACTATGTTCTTTGAGAAAACTTTCAACTCTACTGCACAATCTTACAGGCAAACCTAATGAAAGTTTATTTTAAAGCAGCGCCCTGTGCCACACCTGATCACAGACCTTCGCAATATCCAGACTAAGAGCTAAGGCCTTACTTTCAATTGTCACTGCGTTGATGTATTAATAAAGTAAAAGATCACCGACCGAACGTCACTGTCGAAAGCCGTACTGTGATCACAGATCAGCTGGTGTACTTACTCGTTGTTATCATTAAAGTTCTTTATAAAGAAAGAGTTTGTAAAATAATTGAATTACTAAATAAAAATACCAAGTCAACAGAATGGTTTTTATTAAAAAAATATAATAAATATATATACACAATTAATATAACAAAACCAGCAAAATACTTGTCTCGAAATTTTCTGGTATATTGATTAGTTGAGGTTTTTTTTCTAAGGCAAACAATTTTCACATTAACATAGGTATTTATAGATTATTATTGTCATTTAATAGTATGGCGTTGATTACGTTAAAAGACAAAAAAACACGGTTCTTTGACACAAACGCTGCGTCATATTTGTTACAACATTTCTTGTAATTTTTTTATACCACAAAGGTGGCAAACAAATATACAGCCCGCCTTATGGTAAACGGTCACTGTAGTCTATATATGCCCGCAACACTAGGGGTGTCACGTGTGTAGTGCTAGCCCTGAAAAAACAATAATAAACCTTTTCGAAGAACCCCATACTGTAATGTACTGAACCCTATATAGTCTCTAAGGAAAACCTCGGTAGGGAGTTTATTCTACAGCCTGAGCGTTCGCTGTAAAAAATCCCTTTGAAACCGCATTGTACGTGACCATTTAGGTTCAAGCGTATGAGGATAAACTCTCTGTCGATGGTGAGCGATGCGATGATAAAAAATGGCTGTGGACATCATTTAAAAAAAATCCTTAGAACACAATCCGTTATACAAGCCATAGAACACACAAAGGAAGGCAAAGTCTTGCCTTAGACTGAAGGGTTCGATACCGCCTGTGAGCTTGGGATCGTTGACAATTATTTTTAAATAAAAAGATATTATTCATGTATAATATAGAGAACTTTTACATTTCAGAGTCACACGAAATGCGCCTTACGTTGGACTTCGTGTTGGTGAAATGTTATATAACTTGACTCTTCAGAATGTTGGGTTTGACCCTAAGAAATTGGAGTCTCTGGGCTTGAGTCTCGGTGGACAGATCATCAGCTTTATGGCCAAGTCTTTTAAGGCATTATCGGGTACTAAGTTAAGCAAACTCACTGCTTTAGATCCTACGGGAGCCTGTTTTAGAAGATTAGGCCCAGAGGGAAGACTAGATCAGAGTGACGCTGATTATGTGGAGGTAGTAAACACTAATATGGATGGTTTAGGCATGGCTACTCCTGTGGGCCATGTCAATTTCTACGTCAATGGTGGAGAATATCAACTATCTGATGCATACTGGATGCCCTGTGAATTGATGTGTAGCCACATTAGGGCCTACACGTTGTGGTACTCTGCATTAAGTAACCCAAATGGTTTCGTAGCAATGAAATGTGATTCAGTGCAACAAGCTAGAGATAAGGACTGTTATGATAGACAACCGTTAGTTACTAATCTTCTGGGTCTCAATGTAGACAAGACTAAACATGGTATATTTTATTTGGCCACATACCATAATTATCCTTACTACATGGGTGAGAAGGGATTGAAAAGAGAATTTGAGCCTATTTCAAATGTACTTAAAGAAATAAACAAAGAAGATGTTCTTGTTGTATAAAATTGTGTAGTTAAAGTTATAGCTAGGCCACACGAACGAATCTTTTATTTATTTATTTATTTATTCTTTATTGTACACAAAAAAAAAAATATTACATATAATATATATAAAATAAAGGTGTACAATAGGCGAGCTTAACTCTGTAAGAGTTCTCTTCCAGCAAACCCTGAGTGGAAAGGAGCATTAATTATTTATTAGCGGGCAGTATGCGTACAATAATAGAAGGAAACATTATTGATGTTTCTATTAAAACATATGAAAAATGCTGACTACATAAATAACTATAATCTACATAAATAATATAATAATCTTTATTTCTTCTTACTACTTCAATTCTTGTTTATTGTAAAATTGTAAATAGTTTAAAATACTTTAGAAGCATTTTAAGAGCGTCAATGTATTGCCCGATAACATTCAGGAACAATATCATACGTTGATTTTTCAGTCTCTTCAGAATGTGGTCTTGATCTCTTGTTCTTTAAGTCTAGCTCTATATTTGTTTTTAATAAACAATAAATATTACTTTAACTCTATAAAGGATTTTATTTTGTTAAATATATAAGAAGAATAGAAAAATAAATAAGAAAAACAGAAATTACAATCCGATTAATAATTTAAATTTTATCCCTTTGTTCTTTCTGTTTTCTCCCATCATCGTATATCGTACCGTAATCGATCCAAAAGGTAACAAACAAACAAAAAGCAAACTCACTTTCATATATACGTATAAACTCCATTCCGCAGTTTCGTCCGTCTGAATTAATACGAGTATATAAAGTCAGACATGTGCACGTCTAAATCTCTGGCGCCTGATGTCAGACTGATCGTTTGATAGTTGCATCCTCTACTGGTGCATCTGAGACAATGTATTATATCTATTGTACAAAAACTACAAAGGTTAAAACATAATTTTTAAGATATTTGCATATTTATTTAGGTATCTGTCTGTTTGTTTTTTTCTGGTATTATGTAGAAACTATTGCAACAATTTTAAAGCGGCTTTAGCGGCAAAGTAAAATTCCTAAAAATCTAATAAAAAATCTAATGTATGTATCCTTGACGATGCATTTAGAAGTGACCCAATTAGTTCGTTTTTATAACCTTTTATATTTTATACCACTGAGGTAACAAATAAGCATATGACACACTTGATGGAAAACGGTTACTGTAACCTATAAATGCCTGCAATATCACGGGCATTCTCTAGATATCTCTTTACCTCGTTTTTGAAAAGTCCCATGCTGTAGCCTCTTGTAAAAAACTCGACAGGGAGCTCATTCCGTAATCTAAACGTTCGTGGGAGTAAGCATTTCTGACCACGCTGTACGCGACCATCCAGGCTCTAAGGTGTGAGGGTGAACTCTCTATCGATAGCGAGCTGTACGATGCTAAAGAATGACCGTGGGCATCATATTGAAGGATTCCTCTAAGCACAATCCGTTGTACAAAAGGTAGAATACGTAGAGTATGGCAAAATCTTTCCTAAGACTAAAGAGTTCGATACCGCTTAGAAGCCTGGGACCAGCGACAATTTTAATAGCTCGTCGTTGCACCAAGTCGAAAGGTTCAAGCTAATATCTAAATGCTTCCGCCCATAAGTGACAACAAATTAACTTAATTAACTTGCAACGAATATTAGATACTTAGTTTGATTGTTAGACTCTTTCTTTAGGTCATATCTTGCAAACTAAATTAGAACTTCTTGACTTTTTTATAATACAGGGGGCAAACGAGCCCCCTGTATTATAAAATATAACTACCGCCGACCATGGTCACCCACAACACCAACGGCATTGCAGGTGTGCTGCCGGACTTTTAAAAAGGAATATGCTCTTTTCTTGAAGGTTATGATATCGTATCGGTTCGGAAATACTGCTGCTAGAAGTTGATTCCAAAGAGTGGAAGAAAGTGCCTTGAAAAATGTACGGTGGAAGACCACCACTCGTCCAGATGGTTGGGATGAAACTTTAGTTTATGGCGGGTTGTATGGTGGTGAAAATCAGCAGCAGGTATCAATCCGAACAATTCCTCAGAATTTAACTTTCGAATGAGCTGTAACTTTACATATATCTTTAGTTTTGGTGACTGTGGAGTACAGGCCACATATATTATTTATAGCTTTATGTTATAACAATCGATCCGACCCGGCTTCGCACTAGTTGACAGAATTTTCGAAAATCAATACTGATCGGTTATTTAGGTCGGTCTATACTGATCGGTTTATATAAAATGCTATAGCATTTTATATGTAATTATTTAGATTGACATAACTTTTTTATTTATGAACCAATTGAAATAAAAAAAAACATTAAATGTTAAGTGGAGCAAACCGCAACGCATTAGTGAAACCTGCATGCAAATCGGTTAAGCTGTTTCTGAAATTAGTGTGCACAAACGTACATACAAACAGACAAACAGACAGACAGACAAACAGACAAACAGACAAACAGACAAACAGATAAACAGACAAACAGACAAAAATTCTAAAAAAAATGTTCTATTGCGTGCGTATATTAAAGCCCTATTAAGTTTTTCTTATGTCTTTCATGTACACACAGCGACCAGTCACGATTTTATTTATTTATTCATTAGTACAAATATGTGTACATGGCGGACTTAATGCTAAAAGCATTCTCTCCCAGTCAACCATAGGGAAGTGTCAGAATACTCGAATGCGGTACTACTAATTATTGATATACATACATACTAAAATTACATATATAAACGAATAAATATATATAAATAACAAATATACTTACACATATATGACATATACTATATTATACACGAAATTGAGAATAATATAAAGTACTTACTGCTCGGATAAAGTACAAGAGTGAGCATGAACGTTTTTTTGAAAGACGGTTTAGTCGGTAGTCTCTTAATGGCATCAGGAAGCGCGTTCCAGAGTCATGAAGAATGTAGGAGAAAAGAGTTTGAAGCGTAACCAGTACGGTGAGAGGGGAAAGAGAGTGGAGAGTATTATTGGAACGAAGGTTACGTTCGTGAGTTTCAAAAAGATAATGGAATTTATTCCTTAAGTAGTTAGGAGACTGGGGGTTTCGAAAAAGAGTGTCGAGAGTACAAAGAGTTCTAACGTTTCTGCGTTGACGAATGGAAAGCCACTTGAGCTGAGACCGATATAAAGAAATGTGATCGAATTTGCGGAGATTGAAGATAAAGCGTATGGCTTGGTTGAGGAGACGGTCCAGCTTATCGAGAAGATCTTCATTAAGATCTGGATAACACACATCAGCATAATCAATAATCGGAATAATAAGTGCGTGAACAAGATTAATTTTTGTAGCGATAGGCAAAAAGTTTTTAAAGTTATTTTATTATATGTATTGATTTACCAAATTCGAAACTAACAAGCAACTCTGTTTCCTTTTGGCTTCCCTTTACGGTCCTAGTCTTCTAAGTTCCTTTCGTCAATATACATATATTTCCAATTTCCATTCCTGATTTCCTTTGTCGCCTACAATATTAATACAATATATGATTGTCAATATATTTTCGTAATGGCCGACGTCACAAGATGGCGGATCATAATATTTTTTTTCAATGCCCTTAAGAGCGTTCATGACAAAGTTATAGCAATTTACTGTCGCAATTATTCGTTAATTTTCAAAAATAGTTGAACATATTTCAATGTTTCCGAGTGATTTTTTAAAAAATGCTTTCGATAATAAACTAAAATATTAATCATGCAATAATATTATTATTATGATGTCACAATTTAAATTTTGATGGCAAAACTATATTTTATAAATAGATAGTAGTTGTAGATTTAAAGATTTAATTCCTTAATACTTTTTTTAAAATAATCATTCAGAAATATTGAAAATTGTTAGTTTTTTTGGAAGCAAAAGTTATGAACGCTCTTAATATATAATTAATACGTCATACAACTTAAATTATTGAAATCAACAACGTAATGACGTTATATGTACACTGACTTTTAAATACATTGCGAAAAATAAAAAAAACAAAAAAAGACCCGGTCAAGTGCGAGTCGGATTCGTGGCATGAGGGTTCCGTGCAAAATCATCAAGTTTAATTTTTTTTTGTGAAATACTATAAATATAAGATTTTAGATTTTTTTTCCTTTACTTGTACTTTATCATTAAAATTTGTTCAATCGTTTGGGTATTATTAAGTAACAAACATTTTTATAAATTTTGACATTTTTAACCGACTTCAAAAAAGGTTCTATGCACCACTGTATATTTATCAATTTGGGTATTATAATAAAAAGTAGTCTATGCTCTTCTTCAACCCATATATTACTTGTTTACTACATTTTATAATAAATTGGTAAAATAGTTAAGGTGCTAAAAAGCATTAAACAAATAAAGTACATTTATAATATTAGTAAGAATTAACAGGACACTTTACAGAGTTTTTTACCAGAGGGAGACTTTGTATAAAAGTCGATTGCTTGGGTACCTCTGTCCCATTCGTGTTTCTACCGTGAAGCAGTTGTGTTTGCATGGCTGTGTTTCGGTTTGAAGGGTGGAATATGGCGTGAATTTACAGAGTACAGAGGAATAACACCTGAGTCCTCAGGAATGGCAACGCATGGTGGGTATCATGGGCGAAACAGTATACTCTGTTATGTCCATGGTACTGCTCATGTCTATAGAGGACGGTTACCACTTTCCATCAGGTGGGCCGTCAGCTTATTTGCCATTCTAAGTTGTAAAAAAAAAGTAGATAAAAATATCGCAGAATCTTTTTGAAAACAGCTTGTTTCTCGCGGCTCTGGTCGCGTGAATTACGATCATAATTATTTTCGCCTTATAAAACTCTATGCAAATAGTATAAATTAAAAATGTACTATATGTATGTACTGCGTTAATATATTGTTAAGAGAGGAGCTGGCTGTAATTTTATGTACGTATCTTGAAAATTTGTCCATCAGTTTAGTTTTTTTTTTTTTTTTGATGGGTGAAAATGGTATGTTAACCTCGCCTACGCTAACAGGATACGCTGCCGGAGCACCAGTGAAGGGTGATAGATGAGAATGAAAACAGGCCAGTTAGCCCATCATGATGAATTCATCAGGAATTAACCATGATAGTTTCCAGGGAGAACCGCGAGGAGGTCGACCTGGTTGGGTATATTGCTAGCAATGGGATTCTCAGTCTCCATTACTAACAATCCCATTCTCCTCCCATCAGTTTAGTTAAAATATCGATTTTTAGAAAATAAAAGACTTGTTATTTTTTAAATTTATGTAATTTACAATTCAAATAAATTCATTTTAAACACATACGATCCTTCAACAATGACCTTCGATGGGATGTAGCGCTTTAAAATTCTCGTGATGTCACACGCAAGGAGACCGAAGATCACACATCTAGTATAATATAATGTAATAAAACAGAGATGTGGTTAAAAACAATAATCCATTGTTAAAAGACTGACACTATGTGGGACGGTCGTTCTGATAGACAATGTAACGAATAAATAAATTGAAAATTAATATAAATAAATTAATTAAATAAATTAAAGTCGACTAAAATGGTGTCGATTATTTATCTTCTTTGCGCGCCAATTCTTCTTGGCTTTGCGTCAACTGTGCCAGTACAAGATACTAAAAATGTGAAAGGGTATAATTCTGGATATCTCTCGGATTGTAAGTGGAAATATTATTTATATATTTATATTACACTTTATTGCACCAACTAAAAAGAAAAATAACAAATACAGTAAATATTAATGAGAAGTGATACAAAAGGCGGCCTTATCGCTAAGCAATCTCTTCCAGACAACCTTTGGGTAGAGGACATTGAGAAAAAGACAAAGGATAGGTGGCGCATTATTATTAATATTTTTTTATTACATCTGCCGTTGACTGTACATAATTGAACTAGAACTTCCCTGTAAGGAGAGTTTTGCCAGTAGTTAGTGGTAACTAATTCACCTGCCAAGCGTGGGCTTGGCAGGTGAATTAGCAACCGAAGTAAATTTTTGATAATGTTTTGAGAGTCCGTTGCTGCCCATGCCTTGACCAATTAATTTCTCTTAGTCTCTTCTTACGACACCCATGGAAAAGGAAGGGCTGGCCTATTCTATGCCAGGACCACACGGCGACGGTAGTCTAACATATGTGTGTGGGGGGGAAAGAGATTGTTAGTAATGGAGACTGAGAATCTCATTGCTAGCAATATACCCAACCAGGTCGACCTCCTCGCGGTTCCTCCTGGAAACTATCGTTGTTAATACCTGATGAATACATCATGATGGGCTAACTGGCCTGTTTTCATACTCATCTATCAGCCTTCACTGGTACTCCGCCAGCGTATCCCGTTAACGCAGGTGGGGTTACCATACCATTTTCACCCATCAAAAAAAACATATGTGTGTGTGTGTGTGTGTAAATGCAATATAATAGTAATGTTACTACTTATAGATATTAACTAGCTGAAACCCTGTATGTATTAGGTTGTTAAGTACACTGTGTTAATCAAAAACTGTCCTGTATCAAATTTCATTTATATTCATTTATTTTGTGTCAAATATCTTTTAAAATCACTTAAGAATAATAGCACAACTAGTAACATACGATGATTTATAATTTATATTTTTATCGATTAGAAATATTTAAAACAAAATAATATATAATAACAACAAAATACATAAAACAAAATTATATATATATATAATTTTGTTGTTCAGTTTTCTGTTTGACACTACTACTGCCCACTTACTACTTCCGCCACTATATTAGGTTGACTGGAAGAAATCTCTTTTAGAGATATGTTCGCCTTTGCTTACTTTGTTACTAATTTATTATTACTGTACATTTTTTTTTATATTATTATTTGTTGACAGGTCCTGGTAAAGAAAATCCAATACAAATTTCAAAGGAGAGTTTGAGAAAAATCCGTATTAAAGTAATAGGAGCTAAAGCGACACCGAGTTGGATTAGGAGGAAGTACAATTATTACCAAATTAAAGAGATGGCCAATGACCCCACAATGGACTACGGACAAAAGACTATACTCTTCATGAGTGGTTACTTTGACAATCCAGATTTACCGCCTTCCAGAATTTTCGAGAGTAGTTACAGAATGTTGGGCTATAACGTTTGGTTGGTAGATATTTATAAATTTGTGAACTACCAATTTCCTCAGTAAGTATTTATAATATAATATATCACCATCATCATCATCATCATCATATCAGCCTTTAACAGCCATTCGTGTTTCAACCGTGACGCAATTGTGTTTGCATGGCTGTGTTTCGGTTTGAAGGGTGGGATATGGCGTGAATTTACAGGGTACAGAGGAATAACATCTGAGTCCTCAGGAATGGCAACGCATGGGGGGTATCATGGACGAAACAGTATACTCTGTTATGTTCATGATACTGCTCATGTCTATAGGCGACGGTTACCACTTTCCATCAGATGGGCCGTCAGCTTGTTTGCCATTCTAAGTTGTATAAAAAAAAAAACTATCCACTGCTGAACGTAAGCCTAGGGGAGTTTTGCCAGTAGTTGGCACGCCTTACAGGCGGATTGACAACCCCAGTTAGGCTTTGGTGATGTTTTAAGAGGGACGATGCTGCCCATTTCTCGGCCATTAAATTACCTTATGATACCTTGCTTATGATACCTTATGATACTAAGTAATTAGTAGTAAAGCAAAAGATTTTTCAGACAAAAAATAATTTATGTAATTACCATCTTGTACTAAAATATAAATAATTTTATTTTTTTAAATCGCCATAAAAATTTAAAATTGTATCTCTGCACATCCTAAAGGTTGACTGGTGAAGAATGCCTATAGTATTAAGTCCGTCTTTTGTACCACATTTTACTGGTCAATAAAGTTTCAATAAATAAATATATAAAATATTCCAAACCAATTTAGAACTGATGGAGTTATGAGGTAAGAAACAAAATTAAATACAAACGATTTGGAAACCTCCTTCTTTTTTTCTTTCGGTCCAAAAACACAATAAACATACGTAAAAAAATACGTACATAAATATACGTATGGTAAAGTACACTTATTTTTTTTTATTTCAGAGTCGCTCGATTTGCACCTGTAGCTGGAGGTCATGTTGGGGAAATGATATATAACTTGACTCTTCAAAATGTTGGTTTCGATCCCAAGAAACTTGAGTTACTGGGCTTGAGTCTTGGTGGGGAAACTATCAGTTTCATAGCCAAATCTTTCAAGGCGTTATCGGGCATCAAGTTCAGTAGACTCACTGCTTTAGACCCAACAGGGCCCTGCTTCAGAAATTTAGGCCCGGAGTACAGACTGGACCAGAGTGACGCTGACTACGTGGAGGTAGTAAGCACTAATATGGATGGGTTAGGCCTAGCTACTCCAGTGGGTCATGTAAATTTTTATATAAACGGAGGGGAATATCAGATATCTGACGCTTATTGGATACCCTGTGAATTGCTATGTAGTCACGTTAAGGTCTACACGATATGGTATTCAGCATTAAGGAATCCAAACAGTTTCATCGCAATGCAATGTGATTCAGTGCAACAAGCTAGAGACATGAACTGTTACGATAGACAACACTTGGTTACTAATCTTCTGGGTCTCAACGTTAATAAGACAAAACATGGTATATTTTATTTGGCAACCTATCATACTTATCCTTACTATATGGGCGAGAAAGGATTGAAAAGAGAATTCGAACCTATTTCAAATTTTTTCAAAGAACTGAATAAAGATGATGTTATTGTTGTATAAATTGATAATAAAATATTTTACAGAATTTTGGTTTTTTTTTTTGGATTTTTTAACCACTGCAGTGTCCCAGTCTTTCCGCAACTGCAGTCCCCCCTCCCCTTTCCATTCCCACATAAATTCCTTATTCCTCCGATTTACGCATTTCTAACGTTCTCTTCCTTTTTTTCCTCAATCCTTTCCTACATACTATAGGTGGCGGAAACCACGAACAAATGCATTTCCAAAGAGGGTTGATGTCAGGCAGGCGGCCGGTCGTGTAAAACTATAAGCCAAATCTTTTTTGTATTATCAATAAAACATATATTATGTCGACCCCAAATAATAATTGGGATAAAAGTAGAAAGATGATGATGATGATCCTTGAAGATCTTGAATATTTTTATAATTAGAAAAATTACTACTACGTATATATCTTTAATTATTATTAAATTAAATAAAGCAATTTTTTCGTTTGAATTTTAATTAAACTTAATTCTTTTTTAATTTAAGAATCAACCAATATAAGTATTGGTTTTATTAGTTGAATATAAAATTGCTTTGAAAATTAAAGACTAGTGGCTCCATCTTTTGCAATGTAAGATTATTAAAATAAAATAGTATGCTATGTATTTTGTTAGGATAAGTTGAAAGTACGTTCCGCTAGGTGGCGGTGTACTCTTTTAGGTCCTTTTTAATTTTAAACATTAAAAATAGATGGCACTGCAAATTTGTGAATTAGATACTAATCATAACTTTGTTATTGGGATATGAATTGATATATGATATGATATCATAAAAAAAATGTTATTATAGTAGGTATATTAAGGTACTCAGGGTTCTGTTTACCAGATATTAGTAAATTCAATATTAAATTGAATTAATTATTGAACGAATAATTTCCATTTTAGTTTCCTTGCTTTTATAAATACTAAGTATGTTACCTAGGTACATATATAAGCAAAATAATTTACTTTTTTACATTAATATTAGATACATACAAAAATATTAATAACATGTTTTAGGATTTAGTGTTGCTTGTATTATGTGTATTTTTTTTAATTATTTTAAACAACGTAATTGTGTATATGTATATATGAGATGTTTTCTCCCGTGAACGCTCAGGTTATGGAATGAGCTCCCTGTCGAGGGTTTTCCAAGAAACTACAGTATGGAGTTCTTCAAAAGGGGGGTAAAGATGTTTCTTCAGGGCCGGCAAAGCTCGCATAATACCCCTGATATTGCAGGCGTTCATACGAGTAGGTTACGGTAACCGCTTAATATCAGGCGGGCCGTATGCTTGATGATCAGTGGTATAAAAAAAATATGTTGTGCTCCTTTGTTATCTCTTAGCACCTTAATGGATCAACAAATTGTCATGAAATTTGTTATACACGTACTATATTGAATGGAAAAGGAAAGAATTTTTAGACCAAAAAAAATTTATTATGTTGTTTTATTTAAACTATTTTATTAATTTATAACAAGTTAAAATCCGAAATCGCAGGAGAACATTTTATTTTAAAGAGTGGACAACACAGATTAAATAGAATATGTCAAAAGTCTTGAACAACTATCAATCTATGTTCAACGTCAGGACAAAATAGAAGGCGGCAAATTTAAACATTACAACAGTTTACCTCGGTCAATCAACATAACAACGGAATCGTGGTTAAAAGTCAGTTTACAAATAACTGTAAAACAAAAAGTAAATGTAAGTATTTACTAAAATAATATCGAACTGTTTAAAAAATCATATAGATGGAGCAGCTGTTGACCTGAACTCTTTTGTTGTCGCACAACTGTTTTAAGTGTACAAACTTATTATTATCAATGTCAATATTAACCGAAAGGGTCAGGACTTCACAATGGACAAGCGAAAACCCTTTATACTACTCTCGAATCTCGAATTTAAACCTTAACTCGTTAACGCAAGGTTGATATTACAATACAAACGTGGCTCTGTAGCTACGGCCTGCATAGAGTAGGGTCAACGAAGAAATTGCTCTGTCAATGTTGGTTGAATTTTTTTGCGGCTACCAACCGGGCAGCTGGCGTGATTTGAATGCAATTATTATTCTGCTGACCGTTTTAGCGTGATCTTGTTTCAATGCTATCATAAAGGACGCATTGGGTATTATAATCGTGTATGGGTATTTTAGATACCGGTGATTAGGAGAAAAAATGGTCCCGTTTAGCTTTGTTTCGAGGACTTTACAACTTGCTTTACTTTGTTCCGGGTCTGATGTATGCGATGAGGCATGGGACAAATAATGGGGATATACTGTATAATAATTACCATGATGTGCAGTACATATCTATTATTATGCAATACCATTGGTACGGATACAGGTTGTTCTTTTTTTTTTCGAAAATTTTAATTGTTGCGTTTTTGGAAATTTAATTTATTTTCCAAGTATTTCTTTGATGCTCTATTAATGAATACTAAAACTAGTTTTAAGGAATGGGTTATGTTAACCCTTATTTGCATAATGGTGGAAATTTCCATCATAATTTGTATTGTATGCCCAAAAATATATAAAAGAACAAATTCACTTTAAATTGATCGTGTCTGGATACTTTTTTAGTGTCCATTGTAGAAAAAAAAAAACATAGCTGTCAAATTTATTTTTTAACCATTTTTCCTTTAATTTTGAACATGCATTATATCACCTTGATTTATTTCGCCAATAAAAAAAATCATGCAAAGAAGGATTAATTATCAGACTATATAGAGTATTTCAATCGTTAATTTTCTTTCAAGACAGCGTTTTACCAGTTTCATTGAATATTTCTTGTCAAGAATGTTGTTAAAAGATTGCTTTTAGCGATAAGGCCGCCTTTTGTATATGCACATTCCGTATAAATACTCCTTGTATACATCTCTTTTGTTATTTTAACTAAATAAATAAGAGTTACAAAAATTACAAAAAATCGGGGCTTCCATACTACTAAGGCCGTATTTATCAATTTTTCAATTAATCATGATAAAGTATCATATTATGAATGTGTTTATAAAGTGGAAATTTGTTTCTAGTCCATCAAGTCCTTAATTGAATAATAACACTTGTCCAAAAGCCAACAGTAGGTATATCTTTACCAGAGGGAGACTTTGTACAAAAGTCGATTGCTTGGGTACCTCTGTCTCATTCGTGTTTCAACCGTGAAGCAGTTGTGTTTGCATGGCTGTGTTTCGGTTTGAAGGGTGGAATAGAGCGTGAATTTACTGGGTACAGAGGAATAACAACGCAACGGGGAATGGCAACGCATAGGGGAGGATCATGGGTGAAACAGTATACTCTGTTATGTCCATGGTACTGCTCATGTCTATAGGCGACGGTTACCACTTTCCATCAGGTGGGCCGTCAGCTTGTTTGCCATTCTAAGTGGTATAAAAAAAATCTTACGTCATATTACTTTTCTAGACTGAGATCAGACCGAGAGTGAATTGAGGCCGAGATTAAGTGTGAATTCGGCTTAATACATACATATTCATGCAGATACAGTCGTCGAGTTATTATGGGACAGTGGGGGTTAAGATTTTTAGAGGAACTATTATATTATAATATTTTATATTTATTAAATTTATATTTTTTAAATTTATTAAATGAACTATTATATTTTATTATAATTAACATTATATTTTTCTTTTTTGTATTTTTTTGCGTTGCCATATCTCGGGTGTTATTCCTCTGTGCCCTATAAATTCACTGCCATATCTCTCAAGCCAAAACACAGCTATGCAAAGACAACTGCTTCACCGTAGAAATACGAATGGGACACAGGTGCCCAAGCAAACGACTTTTGTACAAAGTCTCCCTCTGGTATTATCCGTTAACTGACCGCTGCTGAACATAGCCTCACCCATAAGGGGGGTTTTGCCAGTAGTTGCCACGCTTGGCAGGCGGGTTGGTAACCGCAGTTTGGTTTTTGGTGAGGTTCTAAGAGGGACGCTGTTGCCTATCCCTCACCTTTCCTTAGTCGCTTCTTACGACACCCACGGGAAAGGAAGGGGTGGCCTATTATATTTCTGGGACCTACACGGCTTATAATTTAAGATTGTTTTACAAAAAAAAAAACTATATTAATTGTGGCAAAACCAGTTATTTTGATTTTAAAACTAAACTACTGATGTAATTTTGATGAAACTCCTATTGGACCAATTTGTGAATATATTCTTTCAAATAATAGAATAATTTTCCGAATCGGTTTATAACTGACGAAGTTACAAGGTAATAAATATAGAAAAAATAATGTACTTAACCGAATTGAGAATCTCCTTTTTTGAAGTCGGATCAATATACTCGTCGTCAAGGCACAAAAGAACAGGTGAAGTGTCATCACTAGTTATTATTAGTACATACATTTACATCCGACCATTTGTTAACCCATAGCGTGTACTTATTGCAAGTTATTACAGAAACCATTATAAAACCTACCGGTGTTACCCGATAATCGATGGGACGACTTTTTCATTCAATTTTATCATAAAAAAAATATATATTGTAAAATAACTGTTCCAATTAGTCAGAGCCTGTTATAAGTTTGTGTAACTAGTTAAGTGCTCGACGCTACTGAAGTATGGCCGGGACATAGATCAGCAACACCTAGATAGACTGTCTCCTTTTAAACGCATCGACAAAACGAGCATGCTAATTAAAATAAATAATATGAATATCAATATACATATTCATAAATTATTAAAATATCTATTTATATTCGAAGTATAGCAATACGTCGATATTGTTTTACTTTTCAATATTCTTAAATAATTATTTAATAACAATTAAATTGTATCCACAAAAAAACCGACTTTAATTGTGGCAAGACCAGTTTTTTAATATAAAAACTAAAGTCAATGAAACAATTTTAATAAAATTTCAATGTGATCAATTTGTAAAAGTATATGCTTTGGAATAAAAAAAAAACATTACCAAATTAATTTACAACTGATGTAGTTTTTTTATGCAATTTAGAATAGCAAACAAGCTGACGGTCCACCTGATGAAAAGTGGTAACCGTCGCCTATAGACATGAGCAGTACTCATG